CAAAGGGGCCCAACGACTAATTTCAGCTTTTGGGGTGGTTTACAAAAATACCCCCCCAAACAACTATAAACAGCCATATTAGGGGAGTATTTATGTATTTTGCTTATGGGGGTTAAAAAATGACATAAATGCCCCCCCAACAGCTATATAACAACTAGTTTAGGGGGGCTTTTTAGGTAAAGTTATAAATAACTTTACAATGACCAAAATACCCCTCCTAACAATTAAATAACAACTAATTTTTTGGGTATTTTGGGCAATTGAATTACGTTCAATTTCTATAAATAGCCCTATCCTCCACCATTCTCATCACATAAATTCAACAATCAACATTCAACAATTCTCTTATTAAGTTATTCTCTTAATTTCTTCAGTTTTTCCTCTCTCAGTCTCTCAGTCTCTCATACATTCTTTGCAATCTGAGTGAATTTTGATAGTCTCATAGTCTGATTAGCTGATTGTCTGATTCTCCAAGTTAGCAATTTGGGAGGCTTGGAGCCTTGGACGTTGTCATGTTGAAAGGCTTTAACCGTTGAAATCAAGTTGGGATTCTGAACTAACAATCCAAGGTAAGTCTAATTAAATTAATTTATTTTTTTTAAATTTGAAAAAAATGGCCATCTCTTCCCAAAATCCCAAGTTTAGTAGCCCGATTTGGAGAATATTTAAAATAGAGGATGTTGAGGGAAAGGGGAAAAGAACAGTTTGCCAAAAATATAGAAAAGACTTTAGCTATTGTAGCAAAGGTGGTACTGGCCATTTGATCAGGCATTTTCTCATACATGAGAAGGAAGAAGAAATAACCCACAATTTAAATGAATTTTTGAAATAATGAAAAATAAATTTTAAAAATATTGGAAGAAGTCAGAGTCTCGAAGAACATTTCTCGCTGCCAATCCCGCCATGGCACGTGATCCGTAATCTACTAACCCCTCCAATGTCTACAGGCTACAGTTCCATCGGAGTCTTGTTTAGTTGTTTTACTGCAGGACCTACAGGTACCACACTACCACTGTACCAGGTTGGCTAGATGCAATCATAAATCATGATGCAGAATATAGATTACAACTTCACAATTACAAGACAAAGGAGGGCATGATACTACTATATACACCGGATATTTCATTTTTCACCTGAAGCAGATGATGAAAATGTGTGTGAATGCTTTCATCATAATGTATATGTAATTTTGTATTTTCAATTTGTAACTATATAGTCTATATTGTATTTTTTATATTTTATTAATTATTCCATTTTCATATTCATTCGTCCAAGTATGAAATATGATTTATGAAGTATCCAACCATTGTATATTTCATAAATCATAATTTCAATATTTGTAATTGTATGCTTTGTAATTTGTATCATTATTCATTCAAATTTAAATGAAATAAAATTCTTAAATTCCTATTTGAATTGTTTTATACTTTTATTTATTTATTGTTTGGGTAATTGTTCGTAAATTCGTTATTATTCGTATCCTGATATCCCATAATCCATTCAGTCTAGCCTGGTTTGGCCCAAGGCCCACCCTGTGGTCCAGCTTGCATGGCCTGCAGCCCAACCCGGCCCAGGCCTGCAGCACGGCACGGCATGGGCTCGCCTAGGCTTGGGCTGTGGGTCGTGCCAGGCCGACCACCAAAATTTCCACTGGGGAGGGCGGCACAGCCTGCGACAGCCCACGAGCCAGACAAGAAACTATTCAGGGGTCTGGTTTATAGGTTGAACAATCCAACTGCCTAGTCCAAACAAATGGCCTGCTCGCATTTTCATTGGTTCAAGTTTTTTTTCTTTTTTTTTTTTTTTGCCTACTTTTGAAACTAATTTGACTCGCTCCTTATGAGTATGTCATAATTGAATATTTATAAGAACACCATACAAAACATGAACTAATAAAAAGTAGAGCATGTGGTGTTTTAAATATGATTCGTTAAAAAAATTTATTTAACGTACAACAAACATACCCCTATAACAATAAGGTAGATATAAGTTATAACTATGAAGTAAAAACACAAAAAAAAAAATGCATACTTTATTAGTTCTTATAAAAACATACATTGCAGTCAACGTCTAAAACATAATGGAGATATCGTACAATAACTTTACCAACTCGTAGATCCATCTTATAGTTCTTTTAAAACCAGCTTATAGAGTTATAGTTCTTTCAATAGTCGTAAAAATCATTTTTACATAAATTATCCTACTTATTAGATTATGAATTTTATATGTTGATGTGCCCTTTTTATAACATAAAAAAAACTTATAATTTTTGGACTTTTAACAACAGGAATTATTGTCATTACAAGCCTTCGGCTGTTCGGCACTGTTCGGCCTGTAAACCGATCGGACTCGGATTGCTTCATCTAAATTCGAGTTCGATTCAATTAATTATTAGCTGCATTCGACTCCGATTCAAAACCCGAACAGATCTATGTACAAGACACCCGACTTCAAATCCGATAAGATTTTTTGGATCTCAAATATCATACGATTCCGATTGAATTTCTCCACAATCAACTGAAAGAGAAACTAATGGAAGAGCATAGCCTCCTATCAGACATTCAAAAAGAGGTAATAGCTACTTCAACCAAAATAAAAGAAATTCCCAAAATTAACTTAGTCTTCAATCAAGAACTTTCTATTTTGCTATAAGAATTTAAGAAGTGTCTTGATGACACATGAAATGCAACGATCTATTAATCCTTTCAATATAAATTTTTACCCACTATAAAACTGTTTTTCAAAAATACACGAGTCCGCCGTTGCATCTTCATCTTGTCTTTTCGTTGTAGCTCAACCAGATCCAGACAATGCTAAATTGGAAAAGGGATGGAACTGGAAGCAACTGATGTTGATGCGGAGTTGCAGAGAGGGGAATACGAGAAACATGAAAAATGAAGAGTTGCAGACTTGTTGCAGTGTGAGAGGAGAAAACGGTGAATTTGAGAGTTAGACAGAAGAATGAAAAAAGAAAAAAACCCAGGTGGGGAAACGAAAATGACAGTCCAGATAATGTATTATATACTTATGTTAGAGCTGGCTAACTGGATTTGATTCCACATAGGTGGGGTGCAGTTCAATCCGATTTTTAATCGATTCTATTTCCACCAAAACGCACCCCACCTATGTGGAATCGATTTTTAATCGATTCTATTTCAATCCGAGATTATCAGATCAGATTTCGGATCAGTCGACCGATTTTCAGGTATCGTTGAAAGGCCTATGGCACCTTGGAGTTCCACCCCCGTTTTGTAACTCCATTAACACAAAAATAAAACGATATACCCCCCATATACCGTGACACTATTTGGAAACTGTCAAACCTTTTAAACTTGACGGGAGCTCAGCCCCATCCTCCACACGCCATACAAAGAAATTCAGTAGGCAAGGTTCTAAATATTAATATGCCGGTAGGGGCATATTTAGCGATATCGATAGTGTTTTCTTTTTTTTTTTTTTTCAAAACCAGTTCGGAGGGCGGCTTAAAGCTCTACCCCCTGAACCGAACAGAACTCCGATACACCCTGTAAGAGCACATCAGGGAGCTCCCGAAACCAAAGTTCAAAATATCGATACACCGGTATGGGTGTATTGGGCAAATCAATACTCATTTGGGTGGTTTTTTTTTAATTTTTCGCCAACTGGTTCAGAGAAGCCGGTTTAGGTCTTCGCCACACCCTGAACCGGTCAGATCACCAATACACCCACTGTAAAGGCACATTGGTGGGGTGCCGAAAGCCCGGAACGATACGCATCAGCCAATACGGGCTAATACATGTCGACACTTTGAACCTTGCCCGTGTTGATACTTTGAACCTTGTCAATAGGCTGGGAAAACGGGAACTCAGTTTTCAGAGGATGTCTTCTGGTTTTGGGGAACAACGCATGTACCTTCATTAATTTAGCATACATAATTAAGCATGAAACAGAGGCTGGTTTACAACAGATGCGAGTCGAGCCTTTTTAGGGGCGCAGCTTTCCTTCACTTTCAAAACTAATGAATGCAATCACAGATACGGGAATTGCTAGAGGCCCACCCAATAAGAACGACCATTGCTGTTGTTAATAGGTGATTGACAGGGTGATGTGATGCACCATTCATACCACACCTGCATACGAATAATGTCTTTCATTAGAACTATTTAGACAGCAAGGGGAAGAACAAAAGGCCGACTGGCCCAAGTGCATACATAGCTTGTAATGTGCTACATAAATAGGGAAAATCTATGATCGGAAAAGACATGATAACGGAAATCCACCTGATTGGTTCCTTTTTTATGATTGGTTGTAAGTTTTTTCAGTATCATGTTTTTTCCGGCATCATAAATGAATCCACATTAAATACAAATAATATTAAAGGCCCAGTTTGGGAAGAGCGCAAATACAAAGTTTAAAAATACCGTATACAAGGTTTTGTAGTGTTTCTTATTGCACTTACTCCACAGTGAGCGAAAATAACAGAACTAATATGGTAAATAAAATTGACATAACTAAATACACAGATAATTTTGGTTATTTCATCAAGAACCAACAGTTTATTATTAGGGGTCACGATTTTTAATCTGCCCGTCTGCAAATTTCTGGGCTTCGACCAAGGTTGTGTCAACAAAGAACAGCATCAGGCCCAGAAATTTTCAGGCAGGGCTTGAGCCAAATACTTTAGACAATTAGACCCCGATCAGAAAACCAACTGTAAAAAGTAATCAACCAATTGTAAAAATTGAATGCTGTCTATATAACATTGATACCAAAATGACTTGCCTTCGAAGAACCACAACACCTCCAGAAGTGCACATCCAAAGGTGAACCAGGTTGTACGCATACAGGTGTCCTCAATGGAAAAAATATGGCAAACCTAATTCAAAAAAGATGGGATGAACATGCAGTTAAGCTTATGAATGAAGTATAATATTGTAGATCATAGTTCCAACTTGAAATGATGACCCAAATACCATGTATGTTCCTATAATTTTGAGCAACAAAATCTAATCATTTGTGGTCAAGTAGGGGATGCAAATGAATCAGATCCCACCATTTCTATCGAGTTTCTGTGCTAGCTGTGCTAGTAGTAGTAGTAGTACAAATAAGAAATGTTTATATTGATTAAACCCTAACAAATAAGAAAAATAATAAAAATAAATTATTATATAAAGACACAAAATGAATATTTTAGTTTAATAGTGCCTATTTTATAATTATAATGTAAAAAAATAAATAAAAAAGTATTTTATAATACATAGTACAAAACTGCTTGGCGATTAGGTGAGGCAAGCCTCAAAGGGCGCCTTGTCGACTAGGCATCACCTTTGAATTGAATTGGTTTCAAATTAGATATCCACTAACCAAATCAAATTCAAATATAGGAAATTAGAGATCTGTCAGACTCAAATCAAATTCAAATACCACGGTTTCCTTATCGAATCAAATTCAGATATACCCCAATCAGAATTCAATTTGATCTGTTGTGGTCAAAGTCCAACCATCAAGAACTTTGGCATTCCCCATTTGATGAAACTGTGGTTAGTGCCTTATCCAGAGAAAGAGGAATCTTGAACAGACTGACCGGACTAGTAAACCACATGTATAAGAAAAAAGGAAAGTAAAAAAATAAAATGAGAAAATCGTACCAGCTGAACATGTTTGGTGTTGCCAAAGTCGGCTCAATACCAAGATGGACATCCTTGTAGAGTGTTGCATCAAAATAGCCAGCAAGTCCTATGACTCAGGATGAAACATTAAAATCATTATGAACGGGTACTTCACAATGGATCTAAAAAGATGAAAACTGGAAAGGAGAAATACTATGGGCACAATAAAGCCATACTCCATATAGGAGTATCAAGGGAAAGTCTGCATCTCATTTTGTGAGTTACATATTTCCATTTAGGGGATTCAAGGGAAAGTCTGTATCTCATCTTGTGAGCAGGCATATTAATCCGCAAAAGCAAAAAACACCTCTTCTTTTACAGAGTCACATTAGTTCTTTTTAATCCAACCATCAACACCATTAATTTCATTGTCTCATGTTCCTAAACCCTGGCTTTCGATATTAACACTCGGTTACTTTGTACTCATTTTATCAATTTCAGGCAGTGAAGAAGAGATAAGGTGCAGTTTCAATCATTAGAAAAAGTTCTCTATACTGCAACTACAAAGTAAATGAAAGCATAGAGAGATTTTTGCAAGACATACCATGCACCATGGCAGATCCTGTGTCAGCCGGTATCTCAAACCTCAACTTTTTGTACCGCTGATTGTTTTTATTGGTTGAGTAATTTGGATGAGTAAACGTGAATACCTGCATGACAACATGGAACAGAAGAAATCAATCTAAACCCGACTACCATAATTCAAACTGTCAACAAGTGGACCAAAGCACAATTTCTTGTTTTAAAGGAAAAGGGAAAATAACGGGGAGGGAAACTAGAGCTTGGCACAAGTTCTTGAATAGAAATAGAGAAAAAGCACACAAATACCTGCACAAACATCTAAGAAGACAAGAATATTACAATAGGGATATAAGTTGAACTTGTCAACCAAACAAAAAGGAGATTTAAAAAATGAAATGGTGAAAATCTTGAAGAAAGGGGGGCACTAGATTGCAAAACACAGGTGTCTTGTAAAAAACATTAAACAAAAGGAACCAAGAACCTACCAAGGTTAAAAATGTCACTTTTGCTTCTAGCTCCTCTATTAGTCTTTGTAGCTCGCTTATAACATATCTGTTGCAGTGTTTTAAAAGCGCAAGGGCCAATTTGCGCCTGAGGCGCAAGGCGCAAGGCAAGGCCCGTGCCTTTTTAAGAAAGACGCAAAATTACAAAAAAAAAAGCTAAAAATAAAAAAAAGTCAGAAAATTCCAAAAAAATATTTTAAAAAATTAAACATAATGTTAATAAAAATATAAACTTAAATATTAAAATAAATGATTTAAAAAACCTATTATCTAAAATTAAAATACATAAACATAACATGTAAAGTGTATTCAAATTAAAATTTAAAAATAAAAGCAAACATATAAAGCATTTTCAAGCATGTAAAACCCACAATCTCTTTTTTTCCTCAATTGCATTGCTTCAAGTAGTTAATGTGGTGTAAAACATATTGCATTCTTGATTCTATGAGTCGCCTTTGTAACAATAAAATATCATCTTAAAAGGCAATGAAAGTTGTAAAATCATTATTTTTTATGTGAGAAATAAGTTTTTTCAGACCCTAACATAGATTTGCCGGGCTTGCCTCAAGGGGCATGGTCGAGGGTCCAGGGGCGGAGCCCCCGGCCCAGCCGTTAGACTCAAAAAGAAAAACGCAAAAAGCACAAAATTTTAAAAAGGCACACGCCTGGGTTGAGGCGCAAGGCACATAGCGCACACCTAGGCGCACCTTTTAAATCACTGATCTGTTGTTACAGGCTACATCCTGTTTGCTACTTAGTAACCCAATAATTGTTCTTGAGTCTCTTCAATTTCTATTTGTTCCATATTCAGTGTCTTTGCCCTTCTTAAACCTGTAAATGTCGATAATAGAAGACAGTTCTTATGCATTCCAGAGTGTAAAGGAAGAAGTGGCTGGCTAGCTTTTGCTGAGAAATTGAAGGAACTGAGGCTCCCCAGGGATGAAGCTCAACGGAAGGAAACAGGAGATTTTTCTGGGGAGCAAGTACCTAATGAATTTCAGTCATGCAGGGAACAATTAAAGGTTGATACAAAGCCTCAGTTGGCATGCTCGACTAAAAACCAGAAGCTGGTGTTAGCAGAGAAAGAAGGGGGGAGTGGAGGCAGAGGTTAGTTCTGACAGCCCAAATAGACATAGTAGACTGGGGAAAAATACAGGAGTATAAGTGGAAGCTTGGGTGGGATTCAAATGGAGGAAGGAAAGAGTTTTAGGTGTCAGAAAGCTGAATGGGCCAATGGAGGCTTGTTTTTGTTTATGTTCCATAGCAGAAATCTTGCAGAGTGCGTTTTGGAGACAGAAAAGAGAAAGAACAGGGAAAACAATGTAGCTTGGGGTCTTGGATATTCCACTTCATGTGTGGTGTACCTTTACTTTTAAAGTAACTGGGGATTTCTGAGGTAATTTCTTGATGTTTGATGATAGAAAAAGGAGGTGGGAGAAAATTGATGGTGCTTTGCTTTGCAGGTGAAGGAATGTTGACAAAACTCAAGTGGGTGTAGCAGTGCCCAATCCATTATTTTATTAGGGTGTGAACATAACATAGTAAAATAACTAATCTGTCCTTGCATCAAACAGCACATAAATTACAATAAGTTTTTTGAAGGAAAAAGGAAAGCATTATATTCAAGAGAAACTCACAGGTTGAGAAGGAGCAAGCCTTGCCACACTATGCAATTTGACAACATAAGCAGTTTCAAAGTGAACAAGATCTTTATGTGATTTCACCTGTAATGTGACATCAAATGGTTCAAGTGATATCTTTGAAACCAAGAAGGTATAAGAACATTTAAAAACAGAGAGAAGGAAATACATCATTGTATAACTTTGATGCTGTCACAGGCTGTATGAAACTTGTGTACCTGAAGTAACCAGGTCGTCAATTGTATTGTTTAAGATAAACAACAACAAGCATATTAGTACAAATCTAAAAAAAAATAAAAGATGATACAGATATCCCATGCAAATAAATGATGTGAAATATTCCAGACCATTGAAATTATTTTGGTTACAACAGATTCAACACAAAAGCCCAGGCAGGTTGAAATGCAATTTCAGCAAGAGCGCATGAAAACAATAATGACAAAAATAAAATATTACCAGCAGATTTATTATTTTTATGAACCTTATTTTCAAGTTTACAAAGCAAAAGGTCAATTAGATTTTTGAGTTAAAACCAAAGCACAAACAAAAAATAGAAACAAAAAATGATAGCAAAGCTAGTTGCAGATACCACCACTGCTGCTCAACAACCAATTAATGACTTTCCTTCTTATACATAGAAAAGAGAAAACACAAGACAGAAGAAAGAAATACACAAACAAATGAATGTTTTAGTTGTTCAATCCCTGTGCAAGGATTGAAACCAGCACCCATCCCCCACCAACCCACCCTTCCAGCATGAAACAAAAAAATAGAAGTACACCATGTGCATTGCAAAGGTAGATCAAGATATTAAAATCAGGGAAAGAAGTGGACAAGATGATATGCAAATATAAGTAATACCAAAATTAATTCTAAGAAAACATACGATGATGGAATTGAAATCCCATCTTGCTTCAAAAATCTTTGGGCTCCATCAAGGCATTCCGGGGACAGCTCATTGTCACCAAAAGAACCAAGTAACTCACTGACCTAAAATTTGATCAGAAATAAGCATAAATAGAAAGTGGTAACAAAACAGAGTAAAGGATCATTATTATACAAACTCACTCACCAAAATATCAGCTTTCTCAGGCGCGTCCCAGCAACGCATATCACTAGAAATTATGGTAACAATGTTCTCCCAACCCTCCAATTTAACCAAGCTCTGTTTCAAAAAATAGATCCAAGATTATGTACAAAAGATAGGGACAGTGTCCAAAAATTCCAACAAGTAAACAGCTAAAGGAGTTCATTATATGGTCCAGACCGCCAAACCAGACCCACCAAATTATCTGGTCTTAAGAAAGTTCTGGTTCAGTTCGGAAAATTTTTAAAGTTCATTTTATGGTTTTCAGTCCAGTTTTTTGAATTCTAGAAATCAGAGCAAACTGTAAACTGAATAATACATAATAACAACTTTCTAATTTTGTTAAGCCCAATACAATGTCCCAAACCATATTAGAAATCGAACCAAATCAAAAAAGCAGTTTGGTCTGGTTTGGTTTCTATATTAAAACGGCTTCATCTGGTCTAAGAATTTTCAGACAGTAATTTACTGGTTTGGTCTGAGATTTTCTCCAAACCAGACCGGATCAGACCATGAACACCACTATAAACAGTTTGATCTCATTTGGTTGCTATACTAAAATGGTTTCGTCTGGTTTTGTCTGAGATTTCCTCCAATCCAGACCAGATCAGACCATGAACAGCCCCCATAAACAGATAACAAAAGTTTTTCTCCAAACCAGACAGTAACTTCTCTTGATGCAGCATACCCCCATCAATGGTCAAATATTAGTGAATTGTGACAGATTTCATTTTATATGGAATCTCAAAGCAAGAAAAACCCAAAAAGATGGTGACGTTTGATCAAAGACAGTAACTTCTTTGACCAGAAATTAATTCAGAACAACACCCAGAAAGATGGTGAAGATTGACACAGTATGCAGGCTTTGGGAATTTTCTTCATTATAAATAAAATTATAGATCCTCTGGTTTTACACTTTTGAGCATTCTTGTCATTACTTGTAATATCTAATTTTACACTTCCATCAATCTTTTCTCTTTCTGGACCTTAGAAATTATCTTACTGTTGATGGCAACAGACAAGGCTATTTCTACTAATATATTTGGCTATAATTAGATTATTGACAGAGTTGGATCAAGTTCTATTGTGATGGGTGATTAACCGATTATAATCTGTCAATGAGATTTAAGCTAGTTATATGGTTTTTTATCAGTGAAATTATAATCCTTGGCTTTTTTCAATTCCTTTTCATTTGATGGCATTTGGAGGAATTGGGCCACAGTTGCACACACTTTGGTTAGGAAGACCAGAGCCACAACAGATTGGAGGAGCGGTCAGAGCAACAGTAACCCAGGACCATCTGGCATTGGAGGAGTATTGAGGAATGAGAATGGCAACATCATATCCTTATTCTCAGGCCCGGTAGGGATAGGGGACTCTACAATAGATGAGTTGTTGGCTGAAGTACAAAGAATTCAGATTGCTGATCAACTAGGAGTGGAGAACCTATTAATTGAAGGGGATTTAAGGTGATTCTGGGCTGGCTGCAAATCCAGACTCAGTTGTTTGGAGTTATAGGGATCGGTGGGTGGGTAGGGAGGCAAATGCTTTTGCCAATTATCTTGCTAAATAGGGGTCTACTAGGGATCATTTATTTTGGGCAGCTTTCTAATCGTTATTTCTGATCACTTGTAATGTTTATGGGAGGCTGCATCTCATGCCTCTCCAAAGGATCCTTGTAAAGTTTTATTACTTTTGATTGATGAAATCATTTTCAATTATCAAAAATTAGATGTATGGCTTTTGGTCAATGAGAAATATCTGACAGCGTTCTACATGGGGTTTTCAGTTTTCTGCCGTGAAAGGCATTAGCTACAAAAAAATGTGACAAGGGTTAAAAATTATTTTCCAAGGACAAGAGATGTTTACCCTAGCATTCAAATCAACATCCCAGCTGTCATTGCCAACCATATACACTCCCAATCATTTTGTTCTATAGCTTATTCTCATCCAGTACAAATCTCCACAACCATTTCCCCAATAATGCCACATTCTTCACTACAATTCTCCCCACAATCGAAACACCACTGTCCTTCCTTCAACATACTACCTCCCAATTAACTAAATAGTCTCTCTTGATGTCCCCTGGTTCCCATAAGAAAAAAGTCCCTCATGATCTCTTTGAATCTACTCAGACAGGAGATAAAAATTAAAAACAAGTACACTTGAATATTGGCTAGGATAGGATTGATTATAGGGCGATCCAACCTCTCAAAGAAATGGAGGTTCTTTTACAAGAGAACAAATTTTCAGAGAATCAGTCTATAGGGTGCCAGAAACTCAAAGCTTTCAGGTTGCCTCCCAAGAGTAGTCCAAGACAATTAATTGGCCAGTCTACAGTAGCACAACCCATGGTTTCCACATATCACCTCACTTTTTGTGCTTAAACTGACACCTGTAAGAAAGCTCTAGTGCAATTCACCTTTAACTTGTATTAAAGCATATTATTAAAAGTTTTAATATAACCTACCACAACTTATGTATATGATTTGTCATGTTCAAGGACTTTACCATTAAAACACTGAAAACATCCAATGGATTTAAGAAGAGGCAATGAAAGAAAGAGAGAAAGAAAGATAAAGAGTACTCTCAATTTTCAACAATTTCTTTCTCTCTTAAAAGAAATAGAAAAGGGTTCTGGCCCTTTCATTTTTTTATTAGTATCAATACATTGTTAGTTCAAAATAATAACATTCTTTACTTGATAATACTTTTGACATGTGATCTCTCTATAAAACTAATTATATTTTGGTGTTGACTTGTTGTTAGAAATATTAAAATTAATTGATGTAAAATGCCATTATCTTTTAGATGCCACAAGCATGTACAAATGAAATGAGAGAGCACAATGAAAATGGTATTTGTAGTAACAACCAAGAGATCATTCAGTATTCATGAACATTGTCTTCCATTTTAAAACATCAACTTCCGTGAGAAATTATCCAGTCAATAGTAATACATTAGAGTGTTGAACACTGATAATGAGTTTAGACACTATAATGTAAAATAAAATGACAGTTCTTATCAGCCCAAATTTCAAGAACTTACATGGAGTGTCACAACTGCATTGGGATTTTTTTCCACAGCATAAACTTTTAATCTGCGCCCTGTTTCTTCAGCCGCCTGTAAAATCTCAAAACATTAGCAAGGGTTAAATATTTATTAAATTTCGTAACACGGAAATAAAGCAGGTCACCACTTATATAGAATGTTTAAGACCTGCAATGATGCTCTAACAAGGGGTCCCCGCCCTGCTCCCACAACCATCAGTACCTTTCAGCAAATAGAAATTAATTCAGCACTCAGTAATGTACAAACAATATATGCAAGCCAGTAAATTCCTGAAGACTAATTCATGTATAAACAATATATGGAAAACAAAGGCATCAATACCAGTAGTTTACTTACAGTGGTTACACTTGATGCTTTCTCATCCGGGACCCTGTCAAGCAAAGCTTTGCAGACTGCTCTTTGGTACTGCCCAATTGAAAGTACAAAATTAGACACCATAAGAACCATTTTCCAGCCAACCACATCATGCATGCATACCATATCTCCAAACACAAATACATTGAAGAAACACATGGCCTACTCTTAAACACGTGCAAGCGCATGCACAGAGAGGGAAATAAAACCAGTGCTTTCAAAGCATAAAAGCACAAGGGCCATCTAACACCTGAGGTGCAACATGCAAGGCGTACGGCAAGGAACGTGAAAAGATGAAGTGGCACAAAATTTTGGAAAAGGTTTGAAAATAGAAAAATCATTAAAACACAAAAACATGCAATCCCAAATTTTAAAAGAAATTAAATTTTTGAAAAGTTTGTTAGCTAAGATCCTAATAATAAGCATAAACATAAATATAAAACAAATTCAAAGTAAAAGTAAAAGCAAATTTAGAACTGATTTAGTCTAAGATTAGAGGAGAAAAGAAGACCAGAAGAAGAAGGAAATAGGGCTGCAGCAGAGGGGAAGACAAACTATCTTCCTCCAACTACTGCCCCACTTTTATTATAATAATAAATTCTTTTGAAAAAAAATGAGAAAATAACAAATCTGTGTAAACAGATTTATAATACCCCTACATTTAAGTAAAACAAATTTTAAAGAGAAAATAAAACAACTAATAAATCTGTGTACAAAGACTGGAATACCCAATTTTTTTTGTTCATATACAAGGGTGGCATAGTTTTCAAGGCATCTAGGCGATTCTGGGCACCACTGGGTTGCCTAGTCACCTAGGCAATAAAAGTTTTATAATATAAAAAACTGACTTTTGGCTAGTTTCCTAGTTTTACAGACCATTTAGCATGTATGTTAATTGAAAAATAGCAACTCTCTTTATTAAAAACATTAAAGTTCCTCTAAAAATGTGGCAAATCATCATATCAAAAAGAAAAAAATCTTTTACATATATTAATTTCATTATTTTCAAAAATAATACTACTATAATAAGTATTTAATAGAGCAAATTCATATGAATTAGCAGCTAAAGAAGGTTATTAATTTTTTATGATAAATATTCAAGATGGAAAGTAAAATAGAAAAAAAAACAAGGACGGAGTTTCTGTTCTATTTAATTAGAGAGAGAGAATAGAAAAATAGAACTTTATTATTCTATTCTTTCTTTCCTCTTTCTTGCATCCTTTCTTTCTTTCTTTTTCTCTTCTCAAAACCCTTTGATCTTTTAAGTTTCAATAGTAAAACATTAAAACAAAGTATAATTGATATATATAGCTTATAATAAAATGTAATCACATACATTAATAAGATACAGCAATATAAATGACATTATAAAAGGCACCCGCCTTGTCATTTTTGTCGCCTAGTTGAGTACTTAGTCGCCTAGTCGCCTATGCAACACCTTGACAACCATGAAGGATGGGTTTTGCAATTTTTGTTATATTCCATTCTATTCTGGGGTTACGCATCATAAATTATCTGTGTTCTGATTACTTCTTTAATGCAAAATTTTGACATTTGATATCCTATTCAAAATGATTAAGGATTCACATATTCAAGAGGTCTTCATTTTGTTTCTTTCAAAGCTAACAGACAATTACTAGCACACAAGGACCAATAAAAGGTAATTAGGAAGTTAATAGAACACTACAAAAAGTGTAAAACACATAAGAATGTATAAAAGAACCATGTTCCTAGGATAGGACAAGAAACATGCATTCAACTTCTTCTAAAATCCTAAAAAACATCCATTAATTTATGTGAGGAGACTGATCCCCTATTAACAATAGTGACAAGAACCAAAGATGCCGAAAGACAATCCTCAAATCAGCTTGCCCAGACACTTACCCATTTTGTAACAGTGTGATAGGTGATGTCCAGGCATTTTTGCTTTCAAGGCATGGCATGGCCCAACAAGTAGAACATGGCATGAAACACATAACTAGAAATATTGAGCAATACACTATATATAATGCTTTTTGTTTTAACAAGATAAGCCAACTACTTGAATGCCAAGTAAACCAATAATACCAATAATATAACAAGAATATAATCTAAAACATTGTGTAGAAAGCATAAATGGTATATGTGTATTTTACAGTATTCTAAAACCATAGACGAAGTTCAAAAATACGGAAGGTTAGTTTAGTGTTTCTTTCCCTCCAGGATAAAGTTCTTTTTCTTTTATTCCCATTAATAAGGTTCTTTTTCTTGTTAACAGACTATGAACAGACCAAGCAACTTTACTAATGCAAGAAAAGAGATGTGATACAAGAACCATAGAATTAATGGGACAGTAAAGAATGAAAAGAAGAATGTTCCATTGACAAAAACATTTCATTAGGCATTTAAAGTTGCTAGATGAAAAGTCTCAATCATGGGTAATGTATTGTCACTCATTTTTTGGATAAATAAAATTTTTGGACCATTTCTTGATTTGTTTGTCTCAATCCTTGCACAGGGGTCATGCCAATCTTCTTTCGGCAATAATCTTCCACACCCTTAAACAGTTCATCTCAGCCAAATGGAAATTTCTCACAACAAGGTAGCTATTCTAAAAGTTGCGGAATACATAATGAAAAACATACCACATGATAAAAAAATTATAATTGTTAATTGCATATTCAAGAAACATAAAAGACTGAAAACAACAAACGAAATTCCAATAATTTTTAAGCTATACCTGGATGTATTTCACTGTGTCTTTTTCAAATGTTTCATAAGTTTGGGCCTCCAGATTATCCATGAGAGGCTGTATTGATCAAAGGTAGAGAAAAGGTTTTAAATGACATGAGAAAAGAAAAGAAATTGCACTCAAATATAAATAAAATAAAACTCCATTGGTCAGGCAAAAGCTAAGAAGGGAAAATTGCTAGTTGAAAAATGATACAAAGAGAAAAAGAAGACATAAAAGGCTTGCCTGCAAAGGAGACTGCAAGAAATCCCTGTAACCAAGCTGGCATAATAGACATTGGGGTCAGAAAAAAGAAATAAGAATATAATAAATTAGCTGCTAGTTTGTAAGATAAGAAAGAATGAAAGAGTTCTGGCACCTCAAAGCGCTCTTGCTCAGGAAGTGGGTCCATCCTCTGATAAAGATACCCAACATAGTCTAAATAAGACCTCAATGGATGTCTATGTATTCCTAAAACACGAAAAAAACATGAAACTATAATTTCAGACAACCAATGGGAAATAGCTATATATTAAGATATATAATGGCTGAAAATGAAATGAGCTCCAGAAATATTCTATGTAGTTCAATCAGTGTTCTGAAAACAAGACATGACCCATATTGATGGGAATAAAATGAAACTATAAATTTCAGACAATCAATCCGAAATAGGTGCCTCGCCTGTGCGCCTAGGCACGTCTTTTAAATCATTGCTCTATTTTATTAATTCCTCCTTCAACTCTAATATGCCAACATACCAAGCTCCAATCCTTTAACTTTCCTTTTAACCTCTGCACCTTCTTATGGAACCTAAAACCGTTCCATTTCATACCAACTAGCTAACTACACAATCCACCAATCCTTAACCTTTTGTAAGAACCTGGTGTGTAAACTACATATTCTCAAACCTGAAAGGAGTTAGGCCCCTTAAATAATAATCCTGGCCTAGTTTGATAGGACGACGCTCAAAAGTCATCCTATCAACAAAAAAGTCAACCTGAAAGGAGTATGGCTCTAGAGGAAAGGTTCTCCAAATGCTTTTTTTTTTGGTAAATAATTCTCCAAATGCTATTCTCAATCAACAAAAAAGATGAATCTATCCAGTTTTGAGTACCTAGGGTTAGCCTAGAAGTTTGGCGAAGTGTAGGAGATATGTAACAAAGGCAACTCCTTTAGACCACAAGAGCAAACAAAAAGATTGAAATTTCTCATACTTGTGGTTATCTGTTGATGAGGATTATTGCTTTGATCCGTAAGCGTTACCACATTGAAATCCACCTGTATACACCAAGGCCACACCCACAGACCTCTTATTGCATAAAGCTCTTCCCATAATTCACACCTTTCCCTATAAATGTTAGGTCCATAGACATTTATTTGAACCCAAACAAAACCAACCTCCACATTCTTGAGTTTAACATGCACTATAAATCTTCCAATCAATTCTTCCAGGCATACTACAGTTTCATTTGTTCAAAATGTTATTATCCCCCTGGAGCTCCCCAAGTTAATACTGACAGATACAGTTCTATTCTCCATCTTGTATCCATTAAACCATCAAAAACATTCCTGTAAATCTACAGTTTTTCGGAAAGGTAAAAGTAAAATGCAATATAATCAAAGAAAAGTTGGTTGTAGATTTGTGTCCTTGTATAACAAGTAGAAAGCATTGGGGAATTTCCCATAACCACCACCAAGTCTTAACAAGAAAAAGGATAGGTCTTCAGAGTCATACCTTCAACATCATTCTCAGCATGATTAGCTGCCAATTCTGAGATCCCCATGGTGATACTGTGTAATAGTTTTCCAGAAATCACTATCTGGGCAAGATATTGTTTAGTACCATTTGTCAACAGACTTAGAAGAATTTTAATATGTCAACAGACAAAATACTAAGCCTTCTATGAGCTTTCAAACTAAAGATGCAACAAATTTTGATGCATTGGAAACTGCAAAGCTTTGTAGAGGGATAGCATTGTTATTAGTACCAAGCAATGATAATATTCAATTTTTACACAAAATCACATCAAAGGCCTTATACTAGAACATTGCTGATCAACTTATTAACAAAATTGGTTTATGTAACAATCCAGCAAGTACAGCACACTAGCATACTAAGTTTTAACAGTGGTTACTAATATACAGTGTATGCCCTCAAGACCCAATATGCTATGTAGACTGATTTTATTTATGAACAAAAGTTCAGTCTCCTTTTTTATTACATGTGTTATTGGGTGTGTTTATATGTAATGGCTCTTGATCTACATTGAAGAATGATGATAATCGCTGATTTAATTAGACTTACATAATTTTTGTGTAAACTAAAAGTTCTCTACCAGTGGATAAACGCGGGTAGTTTATCCTTACGAGGTTGACATGACTTATATTGCCCAAGGATGAAGCAGTATGTCTGAACTGCTAGGGCTAGACCTAAGGTATCGGCATGGACATTTCTGAAACACTGAACTAGACCATTTCCAATGTGCTCCTAGACCTTTCAATTGATGGAGCTATTGGATTGTTGCTTGTAGTCCAAGACTTGATAGTAGTATTGTGCTGGTATCAAAACTAATCCGCTTTTGATATGCCAACCAGTGAGGTCCTTATGGGGTCAACACCAAGGTATGTTGGAGCCAGGGCTGTTCATAAGAAGACCCAACCCGACAAAACTGACCAACCCGGACCGGCTCAACCCGAGTAGGCCAGGTTTTCTTCAGCATCGGTCGATTTCGAGTTCCTAGTTCATAGTTCGTAGTTACAAACTACTTAGTTCCTACTTAACTATGTTGTCTCTATCCTAGTTACAACCTAACTTAATTTCTAGTCTTCTAGTTAGGAATGACATTAATGGCAAGTATTGCAAGACAACTAGACAAGAAATTTTTGGAAAAGTTTAAAGAAAAGAATCAAAGGACCCTAGTTTCTATGGTCTTTTACACCAAATAGGCAACCAATTACAATTAGAATTAGGTGTCCTTTTTTACTTAGATTAGAAGGTTTCTTGAAATATACAAATTTCAGTCTTCTTTCTCTAATACAGTTTGAATTTCTATTTTCTTGATAACTTCTATTCTAACTTGGTCCGCCCCTCAACTCAAGCACAATCTCTAATACAATTTGACTCTCAAGAATCAAAAATTTGAAATTTCAAGTTCTCAAGTCTCAACTTCAAGACATCACTCGAACTTGGCTCTCCCAACTCCCATCTTCTCATTCTCTCAACTCAAGCTCAAGCATGGTTGAACTTAGAGCCGAAACCGACCCAACCCGACTCAAACCGACCAGGTCGGTTTCGGTTTCAATTTCGGGTAACCCGACCAGGTCGGGTCGGTTGGAAAAATCTCAGTAAGCCAACCCAACCCAACCTGTGAACAACCCTAGTTGGAGCAAGTTAGAATAAGATCTGGGAAGCAACGTTTAAAGCTAGCCTCAAGGGGATAAAGTGTAAGTTCTCTAATTCAATCAGAATTCTTGCTACAACCAGACTCCTCAACTTAAACATACGGGCATCAACTCTTCTGAAACAACGACAAGTGTTTCCAGTGGCACAAAACCTATTCAGATTCTACGCATGGAGAATTTCAAGGACATTAATCCAAGCAAGGATATTGCTCCCTACTTCTTGAATTGCCCCCACAAGTGGATTCCATCTACACTACCGTAGATCTAACGTCCTAAACTTGGTTGTTTCACTTCCCAGGACTAATTTGCCTCTTCCTTACTACAGAAAATAAAAAGAAAGAAACCTGCATTTAGCTTTCTCACCTGAATGTCGTCATTTAAGCACCACTCTGATCTGACACATCTCAAAACCTCTACGTTGTCAATTTCAGTGCTAACAAAGCAACCTACCAAACACTTCTCCAACCATCTCACCCTCTGAATAGCACATTCAATCAAATTCACGAAGATCTCTCTCACTATAATTGCATGGCTGCATTGGTACCTTCTCTCTCACCATTCAGTGCTTACAGCATTGTGTTCATGGAATTCATTCATGGCGTTCATAACATCAGCCTTCAAGAAGTCTTAATTCTTGTTGTAGAACAAAATGGTAAAACTATCAGCACCAAAAGTTGGTTCACCTTCTAGCCCCACTTACCTCCCAATCTTTGTCCCGAAAAGGCTTCTTGAGATCAATCTTCCATAGTTTGTAACTTTGTAAAGTCAGAAATAGCAGCATTAAGTTCTCATTAGAATGCATATGTTGTTCCCCTTCCCATCAATGCCCCAAGTCGTGTTGGACATTCAATCGTTATATGTCTATGCTGTTTTCAATAATTGCACAAGTTCCTCTTCCTGTAGTGAGAGACAACATGTCCATACTTCTCACATTCATAGCACTGCACATTGGATAAAGCTCTCTTCTGTTTAGGCTTGTTTGCAAGAAAAACTGCCTCTAACCCAGAATCAGATTTTCCATTGATAGTAGACTAAGTAACCAAATGGGCTTCTTCTCTTAGCAATTCTCCCAAAATTGTATCAAGTGAAGGAGTGCTGCCACTACTCAAAAATTAAGAACAAGGTAGAGGAAGGCAACAAGAGAGAGGGAGGTGGCATAAGTGGAAAGGGTAAAAAAGGTGAGCCCTATCAAAAATTTGCTTCATGCTGTTAAGATAGGGGGCAACTCCGATTCTTCAATTTCTTAATAGTGGTCATTGGAAGGTTGAGTGTTGATTTGGGTCCCTAGTTGGATTTTAAAATACCACTCTCGGTCTTGTGGACCCAGTCCAATGAGATAGAATCGACAGAGAGAGACAGAGTACTTGTTAGAAGGACGAATGACGAAGCCAATCCAGTGAGATAGCACAGCCTTTCAAGGAATTAAAGCCATTAATAACATTGTTTCGACTGAACCCTCACTGAGTTAAGTCAAGCCCAAGTTTGCTTCGTAGAGAATAAAGATTCTCGAAGACCCGAACTCCGACAATGTCTCAAGGAGAACAGAAACCATTAATAACCTTGAAGCCATTAAAAATGTTGTTTAACAGAAACCGGCAGGGGAGGGTAGTCTATTTTGTACGGCATGCATAAATGTAAAAGGGTAGGGGAGGGCAGTCTGATCTTAAAAAGGGCATTCGATTGTGGCCAAAACTATTTGCATTTCCATACAAAAGTTGCAAGTGTTGAGCTTTGTGGAATATGGTGCTTGAATAGGGTTTGGAGGAGGTCTTGCAAATATCAATGGCAAGGACAAGCCAAAGCCAAACCTTTCTTGAATCTTCCTTATACGAGAGAGAGAGAGAGAGAACCCACCACCTATAGGGTATATTTTGAAAATTTGAAAGAAAATGAATGGCAAAAGAGTCACAACAAACAAGTGCTTATTGGAGAAAAAAACCACCAAACGCCCAATATGAAATAAGCGCTTATTTTTTAAAATAAGCACTTGAAAAATCTGGGTGCCAAATCCGAAAGTGCTTATTCGAATAAGCACTTGTTTTAAAGCACTTATTTTTAACATAAGCACTCCCAAACATAATCTAAAACTGTGCTAGACAAGTTGGCTAACAGATCGGTTGAATGGGATTCAAAACCCTAACAAGATTGATTGGTCTCACTAGGTTGGATCGAATTCAGCATTGTAAGGGAGATTTTGCATCATCCAATATAGGGGTGAGCATGGGCCAGTTCAGTTCGGTTCCATGGAAAAACCTGGAACCTACTCTATAGGGGTTAGTTTTAGGTTTTTGGAACTGGAACCTACCTTGTGAAGTATGTTCTTTCACAAGTTCAAAAACAGTATGTTCTCTAAAAACTTGATATTTATTCCACCAAGGTCAGTTCATTAGGTTGGTTCGAGTAGGGTAAACCCCTAGACCCTAAAACCGACTTGGGTGGGGGTCGGTTCCAAGAATTTGGAACAAAGGTCGGTTCCATTCGATTCAGTGTGGCACCTACCCATTTGCTCACCCCAAATCTAATACCCATACCTTTCATCCTACTTATAGATTATGGACGGCTGCAAGAGTCCTATCCTTGTCTTTGTTAGAATCCTACCATAATTAGAAGAAAGTTGGAGAGAATCTTGCTCTCCTAATCCAGTCCAAAGACTAGAATCTCTCTAGCTAGTCAAACTAGTAAAATCCTAGTCACACTAGAAATATCTAGTTGATAATTTGACTAGGATTCTTACATGATACTTTTAAATGACCATTAGCACCTTAATAATTCTAGAAATAACATGTTCAAATTAGGAAAATCCAACTTGTACGGTGTGAGAATCCAACTTTTAAATGACCATTCGCTCGCTCACCGAAGCGCCAAGAACCCCCTATTTGCTAATGTTGTTCATTCATTCATTGCAATAAAGTATCTCCTTAAAAGGCAATGAAAGTTATAAAATCATTATTTTTCATGTGAGAAATAAGAATTTCAGACCCTAACATAGACTTGCTCGGGCTTGCCTTGAAGAGTGTGGTACAAAGGCGACTCATAGAATCAAGAATCCAATATGTTTTACATCACATTAGCTACTTGAAGCAATGCAGTTAAGGAAAAAGAGAGATTGTGGGTTTTACATGCTTGAAAATGCTTTATATGTTTGCTTTTACTTTTAAATTTTCATTTGAATACGCTTTAAAACACTAAATACAACCCAATTAATCACTTGCAATTAATCTCTCTACTAATAATACTTGACACCACATTAGGGAAAGACTTTTTCACTCTTTGCCTTTATGACATGATGTCCAACTTCCAACACTAATGGATCCTTCAATAAGGATTCAAATAATCCTACTGCTAGTAGATTCAAGAATCCATAGAGGAAATTATACAAAGTACACACTATTCTTAAATTAGTAGCAAATCCTATCACGTTGATCATTAAATTACATACCATCCGTGAATATCCCAACATACCTAGGTATTTGACCTAGAAGGATCTAACTAGTTGGAATATCAAAGATAGACGAGTCTGATATACTCAATTTGTTATGTGCCTTAGGAGAACTCACCCCTAAAAGCTTTGTTAGAGAGAAGGAACCCAAGCACATATATACCCCACAACAGCACCCCATACTACCGATGTGGGATACCTCACATTAGCATCACATACTACCAACATGGGACAAATGGATCGTAACATTCCACCAAGCTCCATAGTCTCGGCGCCCACATAGTCCAGCTTTGCACTAGTCCACCTATTCCCGATCGAACACTGCAATATTGACGTCACCACCTGCGTTGCACGACTGCAATTGGGAGGCATAGTGTAGGCTCTGATACCATTTGTTATGTGCCTTAGGAGAACTCACCCCTAAAAGCTAGCTATTAGAGGGAGGGAACCCAAGCACATAAGCACCCCATACTACCGATGTGGGATACCTCACATTAGCATCCCATACTACCACCAGGGGACAAATGGATCGTAACACAATTTGATATCAATATCAAGTCTAGGGATTAAAAGCAACACTTAATTGTTCCACTTCTAAGAAAGTCCAAGAACATCATTAGTTTGGCTTCATACATAATACGAATATGAATTGAGGGTATTTAGTAGAATAATTCGATGACACATAATAAATATTCTTTTATTCATAACAAAGGTATGTGCAATTCATCAGTTGGAGCTAAAGGCATACACACACTATCTAACAAGTTAATCCAACGAATCCTCAAGGTAAAGAGTAGAGAAGATGCCTTGCAATGATGAAAATAAAAGCTTTGAGGTTTCTTCTGATGTGGTGCCAGAGGATGAGGAGATAAAGAAGGGAAATTTGGATTTAAAGAGGTTAGCAGATAGAGAGGTGGAAATTGGCAAGTCCCTAAGTTTATTCTTTTTAGGAGGGAAGAATTTTACTAGGAAAGCTTTTGAAAGGAAGAGGAAGAACAAAAGTATGAGGAATGTTTCTAAAGCGCTTAAGGAGAAATTTGGGATGAGGAGGTTAGGAAGGGTTTAGAGAGATTAAATATTAATTCAGCTTCTTTGGAGCCTATTTGCTTCCAATCATTTTTTTATTATAATAACTCTAAAATGATTTCATTAATTATAAAAACATGGGTACAACAAAAAGTTGTGAAAGAAACCAGCTTTAGTAAGCTGACCCAAAACAAATTACAAATTAGCCTCAAACATGTGTTCTTTGAACCCCTTGCTTTGCTAAGCTATCTGCCAAACTGTTGGCAGATCTCCTCACTCATCCCACCTGGATGGACATGTCCCTTGAAAACAATTTAAATCCTCTGAAATTCATTGTTCAGTTGCCATGTCACCCCTTCCCCTTCTGCAACCATTTTATCACAGTTTTTGAGCCCCCCTCGATGATCAGTTTATTAATACACAAATCTTTAGCCTTTCCAACCCCATATGTTGCAGCTAGAAACTCTGCCCTTGCCACACCACCCTACTCCACAAGACCGGAGTACAGAGAAATGATGTTTCCATCTTCATCTCTAACAAACCTCCCAATGCCTTAGGGGGCCCAGATTACCCACACAACTCCCATCAAAGTTCAGCTTCTTCAAGCCACAATTGTTGTCTTGTAAATTAGGAGGCAGCAATAAGTCCCCAAACCTAAAAAATCTTCAATCTTAAAATCTGAAAACATTTTCAAACTTTTTGCCCAATGTGCCACCCTCAATGTTATTGTTTCGACCAAGGCTTCCTTACATTTTTCTTTTCCTTCAAATATCCTTGCATTTCTTTCCTCCCAAACAGTCCAAAGTAGTGCCGCTCTAATACATCTCCACAAGATCCTACCACTCCTTTTAGTGCCACTAATACCATTAGGGCTAAACAAACCCTGCAATCTGACAGGAGAAGACCACCTGCACCCAAAAAGGGAAGCAAACCAATTCCAAAAAAAAAACTGACAAAAGGACAAGATATTAGAAGGAGGAAAGCAATCTAAATATTCAACTTACACAGGACACACCAGTTGGGGGACAAACACCAATTTGGTTTTTTGCTTTGAAGTACATCAAAGGTATTAATACAACCATGAAATACTTCCCAACAGAGAAAGCACTGATTTTAGGGGAATTGGAGAGCACCAAATTTCCTTGACTGGGAAAGGATGAGAGGAGGGGGTGGCTACCAACGAGTGTAGAAAGGATATACAAGAAAACAACCTGTCAGAACTAGGATCCCAAATCCTAGAACTTGACCCACCTTATCCCAAGAAAAGTGAATTCATCAAGCCTAACAGCTCGGACACTACAAGAAGTTTATTTGCTTCTGATCCATTAGTGCAAGATTGGTTTCACTCAAGCTTCTCCTTCTAATATTTGTTTTAGTTTGGGTGGGAGTTTTTAGAGTATGTTTATGGGGTGTTAACACTTGTTATTTGGTTGTATTCAGTTTTTGTGATTCTTTAATAAAGGTTTCCTTTTAACTATCAAAAAAATATTAACAGCAGAGAGCCTACATTATAAATGATTAATTAGGCTCTTTAACCTAATGGACATAATCAAATTTGAACCAATGGGCCTAAGGTGGAAGAACTTAGCTTGAAGGATGTGTGGCATTTATGGGCCAAATTGGAAGTGAAAACGCCTAGGACAATCTCTCCATAGTTAATAGGGCAAGGTCAAGGTCCCACCTCGTTTAGAGAGGAGGGAATCTTGGTTCGGACTAGAGGCCTATGGGTCCCATGACATACAAAACTCTCCTTCTCATACTCCTCTTGAATTAAGTAGAAACTCACTAGGATTGGTGAACCCCTTTATGGAAAAGCTTAATGTGAGTAGAACTAGACTAGTTTGAGTAATCAAATCCAAGGCTGAATGGAAACTAACTAAATAGGAGCCCTTTCCTGATTTGATTATGGAACCAATTAGGCAATTCAATTAGGCCTCTCTAGAGTTTAAATACCTAGAGATCGACCAGCATCGTGACACTCTTATTCTCTCCAAGACTCTCACTAGTTAAGCCTTGTAAGACAACTAATCTCACAATTCAATCTAGGATTTTCGATCATCATTTTAACTGTTATTACAAGCAGTCCTTGACCTTCAATTGCCACATATTTTGGTGGAAAATAACACTAAAAAGGTGCTACTTCTGATGCAATTTAATGCTGGTTCCAAGAGTTAAAGCATCAGGCTATGTGTAGGTTGAATCATCTTCAATTTCAACATCGCCTTTGTGAGAAGCACTAGGAGTTCTGGGTTTGAACTTCACAGCCAGGTACTGCACTTGTGGTGACCTCCATCATATTGGGATACTTTCTAACCACATTTTGATCTAAAACACTTCAGTCCAAATCCTATGTTCAATCCTTGTAGGAAAAATTGCTTTCTCTTAGGTGAAAATTTTTCAGCTTTGAGCAGTTTTCAGTGCATTAAGTTTTGAACTTACATATTCCTGGGGCTGAGAATTTTTCATCAAAATTTGCATTAGCACCATCAGCTATAAGGTACAATCAATAATTCAATGATTAACCATAAAAATATCGTTTAAAAGCACTACAAACTTTTAACTACCACTTGAGAACAGCAAAAATCTATTTAAATGAATTACAACAGATACAGAATACTTGTAAACTCCAGATATGTTGAATGATTACGGCCCCATTTGGTTCATGGGAATAGGGGTCTGGAATCAGAATCGGAATGGCCTATGAGTTCCATTCCCATTCCTGCTGGAATGGCATTCCCCCATTTGAGGGAATGGCCATTCTCGGCCCCTCCTCCCTTGGGAATGAAATCTCGTTCCTGCTGATTTCAAGTCCCATTCCCATTCCTGTCTGAAACAGACTATGGGAATGGACCATTCCGGTTCCGATTCCGGATGATTTCGATTCCGATTTGATTTCGATTCCGATTTGATTCCGACTACGAACCAAACAGACCCTAAAATAACTGTAGCTATAAATGTAATGGAATATGACTCAGAAGCATAACAAAAATACCTGTATTGAATGATTAAAAAACCCAGTTATTAGTCTTTGATGACGCTTTGATAGACAAGGATATCCCCGTGCATTTGTTAAAAATGTCTGAAAACAAAAAAAAAAATAGTTTACCATAACTAAATAGACCCTACAATACAACAAGTTAAATCTAATCATTCAAAATAAAGCACCAATCAAACCTTAAGAGATATTTACATTGGTATGAACTATGGCTGCCCTTACAGGCTCCCCAAACCAACGTCCAAGTGAGTTTGCAGATGGTAGTGAACTCCTGGTGAACAGGCAGTGATACTTAATTTTATGTACAAGTAGCACATTGTTATCATGCAGTGATTGTTAAAGTAGCTCCTCTGTAAGACCACAAATAAGAAGTTTGTCTCACTCACAGTATATCAAGTGCTATTGACAGTTGACTGTGATGTTCACAAAGCAGACGAAATGAATTCCACCATTCCCAGGAATCACCACTCTGGAAGTTAAGTTGCATGAGTACCAAAAATGGAGCAAGATGGTTCATAAGAAAATTTGAAAAATCAGAACAACCAGAGCATAAAAAAAGCAATCAAGTAGCTGCCAAAAGGCCCACAAGTGTGGAAGTTGATATCTAATGAGCTTAATCCCAAATCCCAAGAAACATAAGATTAATGGAACAAGGATACCCTTTATAGGAACTAATTAAGAAAAATCTTTTAGAGAAGCTAGTTTCAAAATGCCATTAATACTAGGCCACCTGGAAACGAGGAAATATATCTGTTTTCAGAGACTTGAACATCATGCCAACACTTGGAACTTGGCACATCATATTCCATGGCAATGCTCCAAGCCCTATCTTAAGTCAGCATATAACCTTGGCATTTCACATTGATAGATAGTCCATGCTTTATTTTTCTAATTTTAAAATTTATGTAATAAATATCAGTTACCACATGCCTAAGCACCTAATACTTGGCACCAAGTACCTAAGTAACACTACACAGCTGGCAACGGGTAGGGTACCCGTGCAAATTGCCCTACCCATTCACGAACCCGCCTATGTATCCCTGATTCCAAACCCGTCCCATACCCGTCTACCTTTTCCTCTCAATTTCCGAAACCCGCCCCGACCCGTCCCACACGTTAAACCCCTTGACCAAATGTTTTCTACTAAAAAATGTTTCTTAATGCTTATAGTGTGACTTGAATCCAGATCAATTAATGATAGCACCAAATCTCTTAACACTACTTTAAGCCACTAAGCCATCTTGCCTTTTGTGTTATTTAATGAAATAAAATAGATTTTATTAACTTTTGTGTTCATCAAAACAATCAACACATGTATATGATTAACAATTCCAACTAAAAATTAAAAGAAATAATATTTAAAATTAGCATTTTATAACTAAATGTAATAAACAATCTATCAAATCCAAATTTACATCAAATAATGATTTTAATCGTGAGAAATTTATACAAATAAAATATTAATAATAGAATAATTATCTTGGCACTTAAAATTTATAAATTTGTGCATGATATATAATATAATAGGTTCATATTTATGCAACCCGGGTATCAGGTATCGGATACCCTAAAGTCAAAACCCAAACCCGTCCCAAACCCTATAGGGTTTTAATCTAAAATCCCAAACCCGTCCCAAACCCTATAGGGTTTTGATAAACGGGTCCTATTAGGGACGGGACGGGTCGGATACTCGAAAATTCCCGCAAAATTGACATCCCTAACACAAGCAGCTATGATTAATGAATATAAGATAGTTTCAACACCTACAAAGTAATATCCACATTGTTGAGATCACTCACCAAATGGTTGGGGCTGGCATCCATGGCATCATCATCAGGCTTTTCCAAAGGAACCCTAAGCCACAACTTTTACAAAGAAACAAAACATAAGAACAGATAGCAGTAACAACAAAAGTTGAACAACTGAAATAAGATTAGTTTGATAAAAAAAGGCACCTGCATATTATTTAAACCCTGCAATATCTGATTCACGCATCTTGCATAGTTTCCACAAGATGTTCCTCGTGGAGGAGGAAGAAGACAGGCCTGCAATATGTTCATATAAAACATGTAGGTGAGTAGAGCAAAATACAAAAGCTTATCGATGCCAAAAAGAATAAACTGTAGGCATCGCAAGCCACCTATCATACACATACAAGTACTGGCAAGAGCAGAAAAAGAAGAAACAAGCATACAACTCTCCATGTCCTAAAACCTGGACACAAATACGGGTATGAGAATCCCATATAGCATGCCTATATCATGCGTTTATATCTAGTTTACTAAAAGTAGGTGTCATTTCTAACTTACATAGAATTCTATGATTTTGTAAAAGGATTCGGAGCCAGAAGATGCCGACCACCTACTCGACCACCTTAGAAGAACAAGTGGATAAACTAGAAACCAATATACAGCAGATAGCCGGAGATATGAAGGAGCTGAAGCAAGCCATCATGGCGATGTCCTCCCAACTCTCTACAACGGGAGGCCGCAACAGTGAAGGCGAGAGTTCTAGTCAAGCGGGCTTGAGAAGGAAAGAAGTGCTAATGGGGCGACCAGCGAAGATCGATTTCCCCTTTTCTCATGTGATAATCCTATCTCCTGGATATTTAGAGCCGAACGGTATTTTGAATACAACGATGTGTACCCGGGCATCAACGGGTAGCAGTGACCTTCATCCATATGGAAGGAGAAGCCATATTGTGGTACGATAGCTGGAGATATAGAGTTGAAGGAAGCCATCACGGCGATGTCCTCCCAACTCTCTACAACTAGAGGCCACAACAGTGACGGCGAGAGTTCTAGTCAACGGGCTTGAGAAGGAAAGGAGGGCTACTGTGGCAACCAACGAAAATCGATTTTCCCCTTTTCTCATGTGATAATCCTACCCCCTGGATATTTAGAGCCGACCGGTATTTTGAATACAACAAGGTACCCGAATATCAACGGGTAGCAGTGACCTCCATCCATATGGAAGGAGAAGCCATATTGTGGTATGATAACCGATGATATGAAGGAGATGAAAGAAGCCATCACGGCAATGTCCTCCCAAGTCCCAACTCTCTACAATAGGAGGCCGCAATAGTGAAGGCGAGAGTTCTAGTCAAGCGGGCTTAAGAAGGAAAGGAGGGCTATTGGGGCGACCAGTGAAGATCGATTTTCCCTTTTTTCTCATGTGATAATCCTATCTCTTGGATATTTAGAGACAAATGGTATTTTGAATACAATGAGATACTCAGGCATCAACGGGTAGCAGTGGCCTCCATCCATATGGAAGGAGAAGCCATATTGTCGTACCAATGGTACTGTCGCTCTCACCCCCAATTGACTTGGCCAGATTTAACTGAGGCTTTATGTTAGAGGTTTGGACCTTCTGGCTACAAAAATTTTGATGAAATACTCCCTAAACTTGAGCAGCTCGGCTATGTGTGTGACTATCAGCAGGAGTTCGAGTGCTTGGGAGCCAGGGTTTATGGATAGCCTAAAAATGCTCTAGTCGGAAGTTTTGTAGGGAGCCTATGTGAGGTTATTAAGACAGAGGTGAAGGCCCTTCACCCTACTACTGTCGATGCCACCGTAGGGCTGGCTAGACTTCATGAAGAGTGCCTAAATCGACTTAAGATAAACAGAAATCCTAGCCCACTTTCAATGACCCCACCCAACCGACCAAATCCAAGGAACCCAAAAACCACTGGTGCAACCGTTCCCCTGAGAAAGTTGACTTGGTCAGAGATGCAATCACAAAGAGAGCGTGGTCTATGTTATAACTATGATGAAAAGTTTGCTCCCGACCACCGCGCCAAGAGACAACAGCTCTTCCTCCTCCGATCAGATGAAGCTCTTGAGGAAGACGAGTCCTCAACCCAGAGGAAGAAGTTGAGGTTGATACAGACAAACTGGAGATTTCTTTACAACCCCTGGTTGGCCTGGACTCACCCAGTACCATGAGAGTTAAGGGGATAGTCAAGGGGCATCAAGTTTCCATCCTAATCAATAGTGGCAGCACCCTTAACTTCATTGCTGGATTGCTGGCTCGCTAGTTGGGCTTTCCGGTTGAACCAGTCAAATTCTTTTCCATCCATGTAGCTGATGGGAATCGGCACAGATGTGGTGAGGTGTGTCAAGCCATTAATATCATGGTTCAAGGGCATCGGTTCAGCATTGAATTGCATCCACTAAACTTTAGAGGGGCCGATGTGGTCCTTGGTATCCAATGGTTATGCCAACTGAGGCGAGTGGTATGAGACTAGAGAACCTTACTATAGAATTTACTGTCGACGGGAAAGTGTACCCTTAAGGGTTTGGAGCCTAACCAACCCAAGGCGACTGATTATAACTTTGTGGCCAAACAGTGCCAGCTCATGGAACCCCCTCTTGTAATGATGTTGGGCCCTAACCTCAATGGGCCAGCTCACCAAACCAAGAGCAAGCCCTAAAACAGCTTTTGAAGGCCTATGAAGATGTGTAGGGATGTCAACGGGTCGGGTTCGACACGGATTTACATCAATCCTAACCCAACCCTCCAGCACTCCAACCCGAACCCAATCCGACCTGGCTTAAAAATACATTATTCCTGAACCCAACCCAACACTAATAGGGTTTAACTCGGTTCTGACTTGACTCGTATAGTTCTAAATATATTTTTTTAACACATTTTGAAGACCTAAAATACATTAAATTAAATAAGAAAATTTTTGTTTTATACATTTTAAGGTGTTATTTTTCCATTTAAAAAGAAGAAAATCAAAATCAACATATAAATAAATTATAAACTTTAAGCCTATAAAGTTAGAAGTCAAAAAATTGCAAGAATACTAGGTATATATGCAAGGTATCATGACCCGCTAGGGCAAGTCAACTAAAGCCCAAACCTGACCCGAACCCGACTTGGGTCAAAGAATCAAAACCCTAACCCGACCCTAAAAAAAATATACTTGACCCTAACCCAACCCAATGACATCCCTAAAGATGTGTTTTACAGTCCTATGGACCTTCCACCCCCTATAGCCCAGGATCACAGAATTCCCATTCTACCTGGACAAGGGACCGCAAATGTGTGCCCCTACAGATATCCAAACTACCAGAAATTGGAGATAGAGAAAATAGTGAATGAACTTTTACAACAAGGGCTGATTCAACCCAATTCGAGTCCCTACTCGTCCCTAGCTTTCCTTGTCAAGAAGGATGGGACATGTAGGTTTTGTGTGGATTATCATGCATTGAACCAGATCACAGTCAAGGATCGGTTTCCGATTCCTATAATAGACGAGTTACTTGATGATCTCAAGATGGCTACTATATTCTCAAAACTGGACCTAAGGTCGAGCTACCATTAGATTCTGGTCCACCCGGATGACATTCATAAAACAGCCTTCTAGACCCACAATGGGCATTATGAGTTGTTGGCCATGCCCTTCGGGCTAACCATTGCCTCATCCACATTTCAGTCAGTTATGAATGACATATTCCGCCCATTTTTGCATCAGTTTACATTGGTTTTCTTTAATGATATCTTGATATATATAGCCCTGATCAGTGATTTAAAAGGCACGCCTCAAGTGTTCCTAGGCGCACAGGTGTATGCACCTCGCCTAGGTCCTAGGCGCACCTCTTTCAAAAGGCGCGCGCCTAGGTCCTAGGCATGCACTTGAAAGTTGTAAAATCATTATTTTTTATGCGAGAAATAAGAATTTCAGAACCTAACATAGGCTTGTTTGGGCTTGCCTTGAGAGGCGTGCTACAAAGGCGACTCATAGAATCAAGAATGCAATATGTTTTACATCACATTAACTACTTGAAGTAATGCAATTAAGGAAAAAAAGAGATTGTAGGTTTTACATGCTTGAAAATGCTTTATATGTTTGCTTTTATTTTTAAATTTTCATTTGAATACACTTTACATGTGATGTTTATGTGTTTTAATTTTAGATAATAGGTTTTTTAAATCATTTATTTTAAAATTTAAGTTTATATTTTTATTAACATTATGTTTAAAATTTTTTTAATTTTTTGGCATTTTTTTGGAATTTTTTGACTTTTTTTATTTTTTAGCTTTTCTTTGTAATTTTGCGCCTTTCTTAAAAAGGCGTATGCCTCGCCTTGCGCCTTGCGCCTCAGGCGCAAATTGGCCCTTGCGCTTTTAAAACACTGGCCCTAATTGGACCAGCCACCTTGAACACTTAGATAGCACTTTGGGCCTTCTTAGGAAGCATCAGTTATTTGCCAAGTCCTCTAAATGCATATTCGGCCATAATGAATAACATTATAGTGTTTAGTTACAAAATTCTTGCCATGGGCCACATTCTTTTTAGAATGAACAATCAGCCCATAGCACAAAAATTGAGGTAGCTTGTAACATGAAAAATAATCATGCTCCATCGAGGAAACTCTACCTACAAAACTGCTGCCATAAATGTATACTAGTAGACTACCACGGAAGTACTTTTACGAAAGCACTTTTATAAAAGCACTTTTACACAAAAGCACTTTAATAAAAGTACTTTTACGGAAGAACTTTTACAAAAGTACTTGTTAAAAGAACTTTTATAGTACCTTTACAAAAGTACTTGTTAAAAGAACTTTTACAGTACTTTTGCGAAAATACTTTTACAAAAGCACTTTTACAAAAATACTTTCATAAAAGTACTTTTACAAAAGCACTTTTACGAAAGCACTTTTATGAAAGTACTTTTATCAAAGTATTTTTAGGAATGCACTTTTACAAAAGTACTTTTACATAGGACACTTGCCAGTAATGAAAAGAATTCATTTTTAAGAAAAAAAAAAGTGTTTGGTTTATAGCAATATTTTCTCATTCTGCCTATTTTTACCAACTCATGTTCATTTTAGAATATCATCTTGGGGAACAATGAGAAAGAATGAGAATTGAACCAAACATGGCCATAGTGTCTCAAGGAACAGTCACAGACGGTCCAGATAAGGTGGCCAGCATGGTAAATTGGCCTAGGCCCTCATCAATTCCCAAACTTAGGGGATTCCTTGGACTGATAGGTTACTACTGGCGCTTCATTCGCAATTACGGGCTCCTAGCTGGCCCACTTACACAGCTGTTGAAAAAGAATGCATACACTTTGAATGATCAAGCTGAAGCCACCTTCGAGGCACTTAAGAAGACAATCTCAATGCTCCCCACTCTCGCCCTCCCCAATTTCTCTCAAGAATTTATCATCTAGTGCGATGCAAGTGGTTCTAGAATTGGGGCAATGCTAATGCAACAAGGTAAGCCCATAGCCTTCTTCAATAAGCATTGTCAGGCCCAGCATTATCAAAGTCCACCTATGAAAAGGAGCTTCTTCAATAGACATTGTCAGGCTGCGGTTCTTGCTGTTCAGAAATGGAGAACCTACTTACTAGGGTGGCAATTTGTGATAAGGGCAGATCAACACAGCTTAAAATACATCTTGGAGCAGCAGATTCACACGTCGGAACTGCAGAATTGGTTATATAAGTTGTTAGACTTCAATTACAGGCTGGAATACAAACCTGGGACATCCAATAAGACCGTTGATGCCCTGTCTAGGGCCCATGAATTGAACTCCATAGGTATTTCCAGGCCCGTTTACCCTCTCTTGGAACGGTTGAAGGCGACTAGGAAGAGGAGCGGCGGATCTGAACCCATCTCCGGCTTCCCTCTCCCTGATCTTCTTCTCTCTTCTCCTTCTTCTTCCCCTCTTCCCCAATTTTCTCTCTCGCTCCGTTTCGTCACTGTTGCAGCGGCGGTAAATCTGCGCATCACCGCTGCCTGGTTCGCTGCAGATCTGGTGAAGACGAAAAGATTAGGAGTGCCCCTCGCAGATGGCCGCAGATCGCCGCTGCCCCTCACACTGGTCCCTTGCCAGGTAAAGAAGGTGGTTCTTTCAGTTGTAACAGTACTTTCCCAAGCTTTTCTCATTCCATCCCTCTTTCCCTCAAAACAAATGAAAGAATATTCCCTTTTTCTCATCCCCACCCCACAAACCAAATGGAGCCTTACAGGACCTCATACGACTTTTCCATGAGTCAGCCACAGGTGGACATTCAGGTATCCTAAGAACTTATAGAAGAATTGCTTCACACTACATCTGGACTGGAATGAGGAAGACAGTTCAGGAGTTTGTCACCAAATGCCCTACTTGCCAGCATTACAAGTATGAAACTCAAGCTCCAGCAGGCCTTCTCCAACCCTTGCCTATACAAGATCAGGTATGGGATGATATAACTATGGATTTCATAACCGGCCTACCCCCATCATTTGGAAAGACAGTAATTCTAGTAGTGGTAGACCGGCTTTCCAAATACAGCCACTTTTCAGCATTAGCACATCCCTATACAGCAGCCCAAGTTGCCAAAGTGTTCGTTTGTCCAAGGCATAGCCAAGCTCCATGCCACACCGAGGTCTATTACTACTGACAGGGACCCCACCTTTATGAGCAGATTCTGGTCTGAATACTTCTGGGTTCAGGGATCTCTCCTACACCACAGCACCAGCTACCATCCCCAAACCAATGGAAAGTCAAAAGTGGTAAATCGGTGTTTGGAGACTTGTTTGAGGTGTTTCACAGGAGAAAAGCCAAGGCAGTGGGTCAAGTGGCTGCCATGGGCTGAGTATTTGTACAACACCACTTACCATAGCTCCACCGGAATGACTCCCTTCAAGGCCCTATATGGGAGGGAGCCCCGAGCCGTGCTACCATATGAGAAGGGGTCCACTCGGGTAGCCGAGTTAGAGGACCAACTACTAGCTAGGGATGCTATCATTCAATCCTTCAAGCACCACTTGGAAAGAGCAAGGCAGACTATGAACATCCAATATGACAAAACATCGTGACATCTCTTATCAGGTGGGGGACCTAGTGTATCTCAAACTACAGCCCTACAGACAGACATCAGTAGCCCACAGAACATGCAGAAGTTTTCACCACAATTCTTTAGGCCCTTTCGCATCTTAGAAAGGATATGAAAGTTGCTTATCGCCTTGACCTCCCATCCACTGCGCAGCTTCATCCCATATTCCATGTCTCCTTGCTGAAGAAACATCAGGGGGGAGGAGCTATCACTCAGTCATTTTTCTACCTGCCTTCAATGATGAATGGGAACTGATAGTTCAGCCTCTCAATATCTTAGATTTCTGTTGGGTTAAGAATGGCAAATAGATAGTCCAAGAAGCTCTAGTAGTTTGGGACCAGCTCCCTACAGAAGATGCCACCTGGGAAAAATTTTGAAAGCCTCAAACAGCAGTTTACTCACTCCAACCTTGAGGACAAGGTTGATCTCCAGGGAGGAGGAATTGTTAAGACTCGGGGAGCACAACATCAGCCCACCCAGACTTCAACAGCTAGATCCAGCCCAGCTCGAGCAGCAGCTGAGAAAGCCATGTCAGTAGTCTGTTACAACAGCCCATGTGCGACATGAGCTAATGATTATAAATACTGGTATTACAGAAGGAAATGAATAGTGCATCATTTTCTTAGAATTATCTCTTCTTCTCTTTCGTAGGAGGCAGAGCTGCCCTCAAAGCAGTTCCTGAGGTGGACAGTAACCCATCACAGTGCAGGCTAGTACTTGATCTCCCACTCCATGCATGTCCCACCAAAGCATCATGGGATCTCGTGTCCCAATTAACTGGGAATGGCTAAGGAATATCCCAAAAGGCTGCATGTACCTACCTTTCAAGCTTTTCCCCTATAAACACAGGATTTGATCACCCACCAATGCAGCAAGTCCCAGAATAGTTTGTCACCCCTGAGCCTCAGAGAGCATATACATCTACCACATACACTYTGAACAAGACATTCAACATTTAGCACCCTTGGCACCAACCAATGTACCTACCTTTTCAGCTTTTCCCCTATAAACACAGGATTTGATCACCCACCAATGCAGCAAGTCCCAGAATAGTTTGTCACCCCTGAGCCTCAGAGAGCATATACATCTACCACATACACTTTGAACAAGACATTCAACATTTAGCACCCTTGGCACCCAGACTCCCAACCTTCAGCGTCCACAAACCTTTCCTCGTCTACCAACTTACACCTAGATATAAAAGATTATACCTTTCTAACACGATGTCTGAACCTTTAATATTCAAAGGAAGAAAGTGCTCATAGGGCAATAAGAACCTAATAACCTCTCTCCACAAGCCGCCTCCCATAACCCAGGGAAAAGCTAAATTTGGGGTTGGAAGATTGGAATCACTCAGCTACTGATAAATAAAACGTGATCTTGTGAGGTATGTGGAGTGAAAGAAACAGTAGAACTTTCAACAAGAATTTTTACACTCCAGTTCTCATTGATTTGATCAAGGTGATTGTTTCTCCCTGGATCTCAAGTTGTGACAATTTTAAAGGACTTTCCATGGACTCCATTCTTATAGGCTGGTTCCATTTGCTGCACAACTTGTCTACATATCTACCGATGTGTCCTTTGTTGGGTCTCAGACATCCTTCACTACCCCTCCTCAGGGCGAGAACAGTAACATTGTCCATACCTGTAAAGAGAGATGAGAAGCCCAAGCTATTTCTTGCTTCAAAGCAATTTCAGAATCTATCCGAAGCACTTCATCCTCAGAATCCAAGTCAATCCAAGAACTGATCTTGCCTGGATAAAACAGAGGAAGAACCAAATGTAAGGGCATCTCAACAACCTGCTAAAACATTTAAAATATACAAAGAAAATAGTATAACCTTAAAAGAAATTGCTATCAGTAGATTAAACCAAAGTCATGTAAAAGGATTCAACATGAAAGGTTGAATGAATGATCAGAATACATTGTCTTTGTACACGGAAACCATACCAAAAAAATGATCACAGGCAGCCAACCAACCATTATGTCTCCAATGGTTAGATTCCAGTATGTCCAATTCTAAAGCCATAGAAAATTTAAGAAGAGGTCTAGGGTGCCATGAATTGCTCCCCTGACTAGTTGAAACTGAGATATTGAAAAATAAATTTAAAAAACGGAACACCCCTGACATGGTCACTTACGATACTAAACTCTGAACATAAAATTCATTGAACTCATGAAATTGACAGAAGAGTTTCATCACAAATCAAGCACATAAAAATGAAAACAAAATGTTGGCAGAAGCTCTAAGTATGATTTAATAGTGATTAAAGAACAATCAGTTCACCTAAAACATACCACAATTATTTGTGATGGCTACACAAGCCATCATTTGGCACCCCGCTCTATCAACATCAAGGAGCATTTCCTTTGGTAAATTAAGAGTCCTCAGGTCTTCTCTCACAACCAAAATCCATAATTGTCAAAGTCCTAAGAATTATAACATGACAATGATTCAAACCATTAATTCTAAGGGCTTTGATTCTAAAATATCTCAACTTTCTTTTGAAAAGTCTTGCCATTATTGTTTGAATCTTACACTTCAATTGTTGGTTTTACATGCTATATGATTAATGCGATTAAAATCATCTCCTTCCCCCTCGTCTTTCCTTTGTTTCTTATAATTTTATTCGAGGGACTTGTTTTAAAATTCTTACTAGAACATGATTTACTAAGGTTATATAATACCTATTTAAAAACCTTATTGGATTTGGTTTCTATCGTATACAGGTTTAAGAAACATAATATGTGAGGCTAACTGACTTCCAAGACAAACTTGTTTACATTATAATATGCTTTAAACGTAAAGGCGGTAAACTCTGTTGTATCAAGTGCATACATCGTAAAGAGAAACAACTTAACAAACAAATGGACTCAATAACACAGCTAGGTGTATCTAAGACCTTGCCATAGGCTGAAAACATGCGTAAGGTAGCAATTTAACAAATGTGGCTTCCAAGAATATCAGTTGTCTAAATTGATATTGAACAACCATACAAGAGATTAATATATGCATAGAAGTCCTTAGGCATGCATTTGTAGGAAATTATGCATTTGTAAGTTGATAAATACTAGGTCTTTTATGTTCGATTTTCATACTTTTCTCATAAAAACTATTAAAGGCAAATAATGAGAAGAAAGAAATCAGAATATGAATACCAATCTAAAAAAGAACAAGAAAGGCGCAATGCACAATTCGCTCAAAGAACTAGGGAAACATTTATAACTAAAGCAGGCATTATCTGTTCTAAATTAATACATAATACCAACCTAACTAGAGTATAAATATGAGATTGATGTTACACAATAGAACATACCCACAACATGACTACTCCACTGTGAAGGGCTTAAAATTAAATCTGATCCTGCAAACGGAAGAACACTGGCGCTACTACCATCACTTTTCACTAAGCTAGGCCTATATGTTGGATCCATCTGTGTCAAGTTACAAATGCATAACTGTAATGGGACAGTGGAATACAACAAACAAGTTTATACATCAATTAACTAAAGAGTATTATTTCCATATATATAGTCTGATGAGAAGTCAAATTTTTGGAGAAAAAGTATGAGCAAGATTCAAAAAGACAGAAACAGAGGGAACCAACATGAAATAACACCTATAATTTCTAAAAAACAACAATGCAAAAAAAATAAATAAATAAGTCTACAGAATCCACTTGATAGACTTTCTTTGTACTTCACAGACTCCCCCCAGCTCCAAAGAAAACTTTTCCTGAGATGCTTAGATTGCCATGAAATTAATATTAAAACATTTAGGACCTTGAGATGAAGAGAAAACATAAAACTCTATTAAATTACAAAAGGACAAAATTAAGATGAGCATTGAAGAAAGCATGTTCACAGATTCTACACCCAGATCAAGTTACACAACACAAGAACATTTTAACCCTGAACTTTTTTTTGGATGAACAACAGTATAAATTTATTAAATCAGAAACTGATTTAGAATTGTGATTTCATACAACATCCCATGGAGAGGCGTGAGCTGCAGCCCCTCCTAGAAGCTTACAAGTAAACTAGGAATAAATTACAGAAATCGCAGCTGAGCCCAAAACAGTTCTTCCCTATTTACTCCTTGCTTGGCTAATACATTAGCCAAAGCATTTGCTGATCTCCCCACCCACTGTATAGAAACCAACATATTGCTTGTCAACCAATTAAATTTCTTCATTTCATTCTTGTAGCACCATATAGTATCCTCGGGGTTTTTCAACCAGCCCACCACCACCTTGGAATCCCCTTCAACTATCAAATGCTCTATCATCAACTGGTTTGCAAATTGCACCCCTTGTACAGCAGCTAATAGCTCTGCCCTGATAGAGTCTCTGAATCCTAAAGGACCCGAGTAAAGCAGAACAATTTCACCACTCTTGTTCCTCAGAACACTCCCCATTCCAGAACAAATTAGAACCATAGAATGTTACACCCATCATAATTCAGACTACCAACTATTTTTGTCTCTTCCATGCTTCAATTCAGATAGTAGAGTTGATATTTATCATAATATTTTTTTTGAGAAAATATTTATCATAATACTATATATGGATTGTATTCCAAAAAAATTCAAACAATTTGAGACTTTTCATTCACTTCATTTTGAAAAATATGCACCATACACAATTTTTACAGGTAAATAGAAAAACACCTCTTATGTAAACACAAATGCAGTTGCCACAAATAAAACACTGCATCTTATTTCAGTACCATTAGATTCATGAATACCATCTAACTGGGAAAAAAATTTCCTGGATGCTAAACAAGAATGTATTAGTATAAAGCTGGTTGCCATATTTTGAGGCCCACGTTTATCACGGTCAAAGGGGTTATCCCCCATTGAGGGCTTGAAGCATATTTCATGCTTCCAAATTTCAATAATTCAAAGATGTAGAAATAAAAACACACCCTTAAGACCAACACTAGAAGAAGCACAGGAAATTTTTGGCAGAAAAGTACTTATCAGAAAAAATGGCAGAAAAAGGTACTTCTCAAAACATTTATTTAATTGCAATCCACTAGTGTATTCAGAATCAGCCTCTGTCAGATTATAACTAGGGGAGACAATAATAAACATGGGAAACAAAAAAATTCAGAGGTTAGTAATGCTACTTGGATACGAAATTATCTACATCTATTTTTCGTTAAAGTACATATATTTCATAAAAAATATCTCATACAAGAAGCAAGTAAGTGTGTGGTAAAATTCACCATGCATTTCCCTTTCACATAAGAATCATATATAAATCCCTCCCCTTATTGTACAAGGTTTATATACAAACATGGCACAAAAAAAATATATCCCTTCCCTTGTTGTATAAGGTTTATATACAACCTTATTGTATAAGGTTTATATACAAACATGGCAAATGCAAGTATCAAAATCAATGTGATCCTAGAATATGATTCGACTTCAGGATGTCAAAACCTCATTGTTTTGATTGGCTTAAGTTACCGCATTTACAAAATGACAGCCCATAGTACTGAAATGTTCCTTGTTGATTGGCAGGCCTCTATACCCCTCCTCTCCAACAATTAGGGGTGCAAGTCAGGCTGGAGGGGGATGGTAGCTAGAGCCTTACCAAGACCTTCTTCGAATCATAGTTTAATCAGACTATCCCAAGAAACAATGAAAGGAGGTCCTTGCCCATTTATTTAAGAATATGTGGTTACTTCACCTTTTGTACCAAAAGTGAAAGAATGGTGGGAGGAGGATCAGATGAAGTTTAGGCGGAAAGGATAGAAATTACAAAGGCTGAAAGCTAGGGTTAAAGGTTTGAATAAGGAGGATTTTGAGAGAATAGAGGAAAGAAGGATTACACACAGGATTGAGGAGCTTGATGGGCTTGAAGGGGAAAGAAGATTAATAGGGGAAGAAAGGGAAGAAAGATGGAGGCTAAAACAGGAATTGGAAGGGATTTTGAGTTGAGGGAGAGAAGAGATTAGTTGAAGACAGAAATCAAGGTGCATGTGTTAAGGTGATAGTAATACAATCTTTTCCAGAAGTTTGCAAATGGTACAAAAAGAATATTTTGTTTCCCACCTAGAGTTGAATGGATAAGTTTTCACAATGGAAGAGGTTATAGAACAAGCACTTATGGACCACTTCAAAGCAATCTATGCTAGCATGGGTAGACAAAGAGAAAGATTAGTACTAGACAATGAATGAAGGGTTGGTTAGTACTTAGTAGACCGGTCTGGACATAAAAAAAAAATACCAACACTGTAATTTAATAAAGTAATATTATGTTATTTTGGTAATAATTTACCAAACTAATAAATTAATTCCTATTTCTTAAACTATTAATTGGTATTTGGTAATAATTTAATAAACTAATATTATATATCTATACTATATATAAAGTGCAAATGTAGAGCGGAAGTTTTTTGGACTTAAATCACCCCCTATTTCTTTGTTTAAGAAAGGGTATAAAAGTCATTTTGTTACAGCTTTGATGGCTACTAAAATCCCATATCTGTCTATTTAGTCCATCTCTACTTGTAAGGGTTGAAAATGTAACTTCAATCATTACTTTACACCTCATTTAATCCCCTCTCATCAACTCTTTACTTAAGGTATTAAATCCTATTTTCTCTTATTAAATCTTACATTTAAATTATTTTTCACAAATAAATGCTACTAATTAGATCTATATTAATATTTTTAACAATATAAACCTATATATTTTAAAATTGACTCCAAACAAAACCATTATTAATCCAAGTGGTGACTAAGCAATTCAACTATCAACCTATTAAGTCAGATTTAGGCAATAAATTTTTTAAAATAGGAATAATTATAGAAAATTACAAAAATATAGAAAAAATTAGGCACATTTATGATATTTTTGTTAATCAAATTAAAAAAAAAAATAAGTGTAATAAACAAGAATTATTTTCATTGATAATAAAATGAAATACATAATTTAGAACTGATCCAAAATGAAATTATTTTACTGTTTGGCAAAGATCAATAATTCAACTATTGGACCAAATGTGTTGACATTTAATGTCATATATAAATCATAAAAATTAATAAAATACATAAATTTTGCAAAAAAAAATTCAGGCATATGTATAATATTATATAATTATCATATTAAAAAAAAGTAAGTGTGACATATCAAAATTATTTTTACACACAAAAATACAAAATTAATAAAAAAATTGAACACATCTATAATTCTATATTTAGACTATTATTAAAAATATGAATAAGATTATGGAACTTTCTTTTGACTAAAATACTCATTTTTTTAATTTAGCCCTTATTCAATTGTATGTTTTAAATTGTAAATTGAACTACTACTTTTCACCTTATCCAATTCCCTCTATTTAAATCTTACATTTCTTTAATAAATGAAGAAACAAAAGATACACCAAAAAGATAAAACATTACAAAAAGAATAATCTAGCCGAACAGATAAGCTTGTCAATGATACTTGAAACTTCACAACTCGTCCCAATTATCACATATTTGGATGAGGTGTTTATGTAATCAGATTTAGATTTTGCAATCTGCATCCAATTAATAATAAAAAAACAAAAAATATAAAAACAAGAACTAAAAAATACATGTTTATAGAGCTCTAGCCCTATCTTGAGGGCCTAAAATTTTATCCAAGCACGAAAAAGAACGGGTCGGGGGGGCAGCCCATCAAGCTACTGGCCCACAAACAGGTCTACTAATGTCATGCTAAATGCAACAATTTCTCAAAGTTCGGAGAATGTTAAGTCTGTTTTCAAATTAATAAGAGAAATCAGTTCTCCTTGAAGGTTTGAACTCCCCAAAACCATCACCAATTTCATCTTCTGATGTCAATTCATCAAAACATCAATGCTTGGGAACTAGAGAACCCATGACCATGGTTGTTATGGCTTAGCCAAGAAAAAAGGCAAAAAAAAAAATAGAATAAATATGACATAAAGAACTCCACATATCACATTTTGCTTTTTTTCTGTATTGCTCTTAACCATTACAGAAACAACGATTGACAATTTAGAACTTCATAAAACAAATGTCTACAGCAATACAACCTACAAACATGACGTAATCTGAAGTAGTGATAGTAATAGTTCAATCATGTATTCTTACTTAAATACATGATTTCCATTCATTTTCTTTGTCGTAAATACGGTAACAATAACCCACAAAGGCACAAACTAACAAGTTAGAAAAATCATAACAGGGAATAAAAAAACAGCAAACAAAATAAAAGAGAAACTACTAACCAAAGGAGCCACGACGAAGTCAAAACCCCCAGAAATATTGGAAGCCAAAACTTGAGGCATGTCATCGTCGAATTCAGTCTCAACTCCGCAGTAGCGTGAGTCGCTTTTATCTCCCGCTCTTTGTCCGAGTGGCATTTTCTTGAAAACAAACAGAGAGCCCTGAAATTTTATTCTATGAGTGAACTGAAAATCAAAAAGGAAATCAAATGGGACGATGCGCCCAAAATTAAGCAATTCACTCTTCCCAAATTGATTCTGCAACTGGACAAAAGGGTTGAAAGGAAATGTGTAGACCACAAACGGAGTAGAGCCCTGGTAAAAAACCTCTCCGACGAGAGAGTTTTGAGACAAAACACCCCAAAATGATTGCGAATGGAGCTTCCAGACAGACAAATAAGGGGGGAATGAAGAGAATACCTATCTCTATCTCCCTCTGAAGAAAGAGTACTATTGGGAGAGTAGAAAGACAACCGAACTCTGTTGGGTTTTAAGTAGGGTTTTTCATGCATGTTGATACAGCAAAGCCGGGAATTATATATAGTTAAAACCTTGACTCGTGCGGATATTAGGGTTTTAGACCGTCTTTGATGAAACGTGCTATATTTTGGGGTGCGTTGAAAATTTATATCTATTTATATATATCCATATATATATATAGTAAGATGGTCCACATCACCAATTGATATATTCATGGGTTAGGCTCGAACTTGGCTTTTGCCAATTTTTGAATGGGGCTCGGGCTTTCAGTGTAAGTTACGCCTAAAACCCAGCCTGTGAATAGGTGTAGTTATCATGCCTCTCCTTGCTCCAAACCCCCATGCTATTCTATCCTTAATTCTCTTTCCTCCTTTTTTGGCCCTTTATTAAGTCAAGTCACCAATGCTTTTAGCATCTCCCATTATGTCATATATCATCTCTTTTCTCAAGAATTTGAATCTTAATATAACTCTTCACCAAATCATGCTTATCAGAAAACTTTTCCACCCTCTCCTTTTTATTAGAAAAGTGGCAAAAAAAATCAGGAGTCTATTTCATATGGGACTCTTTTAGAAACCTTCACACTTAGCAGGTTTCCCCACCTCTCTTCTTCTTCTTCTCACTTATCTTTTTTCCCTATTTTGTGTTTTAAGTATGCATCTATTCATTTTATATTTTGAACATAAGACGATTGGGATTTATTAGAAAATGATTAAGATTGCTTAATAATGGGTTATAGAAATATGTGATCGTATCATTGAAAATATTTTGGCTTTGATTAAACCAGTTCATGATCCATTTGGTTTGCCAGGTACATTGATTTGAGTGTAGAGAATCATAATTTGTTCTGTTTCCAAGCCGTGAGATAGTTTTTTCCACACTAAGAGATAGTGAGGCTGAAAGGTTGGTGGATTAATTTGTATTTTGTTTAGAGTGTAGAAGGATCCATTTAACTCTATTTTTTATTTTTCTATTTCAGGTTCCAGTTTAGTTGTTGTAATTGCAAATTAGTCTGGCTTTGAAAAGTTGGAAAAAGAGGTTTAATGTAGAAGTTTGTGGCCAAATCCGGTATGCTTTCATACCTCTTTTAGTATGTTTGTGAAATGCCACAAATTGTTTGAATATAAATAGAACATCATGAGCTCTATTATTAATTTTAGTATTAAAAAAATGATTTAGAAACAAATTAGCACCCCACTCTCTACTCTTTACACTAGTCCACCTTCACTCTCTTCTCTGCCACCCATTTTTCCTTCATACGAGAAAGACCACTTAGCCTACGTAAAATGTGACAATCATGATGGAGTTGGTATAATGAGGGGATGGGTTGTTAGTGATGCTATCGAAAATATCAAACATATGGATTCCCATTTTCTGGAATTTTCGTTGGACCTATACTACCCTTATTTGTCTAAACGCTTAGTTAGCAAGTGAAGGGCAAATTTGTAATTTTCTGACTATCAATGTAGTTGTTTTTCCTCAGACCCTCACTCAATAGGTTTCTCTCTCAAAACCCCTCTCTCCCACTACTTCCCTCATACCCTAACGCAATCGGTTTCTCTCTCAGAACCAAGAAAGAAGACCCTCTCTCCCACTACTTCTGAATATCACTGTAGGTTTTCTCCCTCAAACCCTCATCCATTTGGTTTCTCTCTCATAACCGAGAAAGAAGACCCTATCTCCCACTACTTCCAAGTATTTTTGTAAGTTTTTCTCCCTCAAACCCTCACCCATTCGGTTAAGAAGACCCTATCTACCACTACCCTCACCCATTCGGTTTCTCCCTCAAAACCGAGAAAGAATACCCTATCTCCCACGTCCTACTACTCCATTTCATTTGAGAAAGAAGTCTCCCACGAAGTCTCCCACCAATTCTTTCACGATTGGGGAGTTCAGTTATTTGGAAATATATATAAATGGGATTTGTGATTCCCTTGGAGTATGCACAACTCCAATAGAGCAACCAAATGAGTCATTTGTCAAAGAGGAAAGCAATTGGAGGAGTGATTATTCCACTAGGAGAACAATCGAAGGAGAGGAACTCGACAAAAGCAACTTGGAAATTTTTAAAGGTAATGTTTACTATTGAAGTCCTTATTTTTCATTATTGTTGTTTGTTCATGTAATTACAGTTACATTTATCAAGCAAATTGAAATTGTTAGTTTCTTGAAGTCCTTATTTTTCATTATTGTCGTTGGTTCTTGAAGTCCTTATTTTCATTATTTCCGTTGGTTCATTTTCAAGCAAATTGAAAATGGCAGGTTCCATTTTCTATTCAATGTACTGTAATTTATTTTAGGTGTTACAGCATTTAGATTTATTTTTGAAGGCTTAAATCATATTTCATTCATTCAATTTCCAATGGATTGAAAAATGTTGGTTTCAACCCATTGGAAATTGAATTTATGTGATTTGATTCATTTTATATGCTGGTTTGAAACCAATGTTTAAATTCACAACTTCAAGTCATCTGATGTACAAAAAACCAATGTTTAAATTCACAACTTTAAGTCATCTGATGTACAAATTATATTGTCACCAATTTGTTTGAAATCAGGATTGCTCTTGTCAAATTTTATTGCTTTTGATTTTGATCTAACTATTTTTTTTTGTTTTTTGTTATTTTTTTTATGTTTCAACCCATCAGAAATTGAAGTTATGTGATTTGATTCATTTTATATGTCGGTTTAAAACCAACGTCTAAATTCAAAACTTAAACCCATATGATGTAGAAATTATATTGTCACCCATTTGCTTGAAATCAGGACTGCTCTTGTCAAGTTTTATTGCTTTTGATTTTGGTTTTTATGCTTTTTCCTATTTTTTTTCTAGAATGACCTTGAAGTATACTATTTTGTTTCCTCTCTATTGTTTGTAGTTATGTATTGTTTCTTTTCTCTCAACCATAATGAAATTACAGTTAATGTATCAGCTTATTTTTTATATTTCACTTAGTACACAGATGACAACAATTAACGAAATGAGTATTTCCTTCAAAAATGTACTTAATGAGTTGTATTCCAAATTGCATATGTCAACTCCCATATTCTTGGTTGAAGAAGTCGGGAAGGATTTCAAGGCCTCTATTCTTATCATAATCGGAGTCAGACAATTGGAAATTCTATGGAAAGTGATGTATTTATAAAAAGGAGATGAAACAAGATGTAGGTAGGAAGGCGATCAAAAAAATAGTAGAATAATTCAAAACGAAAATAGTTGAAGGGAATTATGAAGACTTACAATTCTATATGCATAAATACTAAAAATTGGAAATGTACATTGATGATTTGAAAATGGAGCTACTAAAACTAAAAAATAGGCTTAATGACACTAGAGTTGTGAAAAATGAAGGTATTGATGATAAAGAACCAGAAGAAGACGGTGAATATGTTGTAGGGGGAATTTAGTTTATGGATTATGTTAAAGTGAATCTTAGTAAGAGTGCTTGTTTTTAGTATCATGTTTTAAGTTTAATTAACAAGGTTGTTTATGTTTTATGACAGTTTATAATAGATTTCTATCTACAAGGTTGTTCTTGTTATTTTTATATAAAGTATAAATATTATTTTTAGTTGTTGTTCTTCTTTCTTTAATTTTGTGTTTTCTCAACACATTGTGCGTGGGCATTGTTCTAAAGCTGTATCATGCAACATAAGGTACAATTCAACTTACAGTTGAGCCCAAAATTTAGATTTTCTAGAAGCCCCTTGCTTAGCTAAAGAACTGCTTGGAAGAGATTGATAGATGATAATTGGTATCAGTACATATGATACTCATACATTTCATACTTCAATATAGAACCAAAAGAAAAAAAGATCTCACCATCATATGTACTGATTTACATTTCTGAAGCCTAAAATCCACATTATTTCCAATTATATTAAGCTTGAGAGAGAACAACCTAGGGTATATTGAGCTTCAGAGAATGGGTTCTCTAGTATGAGAGAACATATGTAGTTATCAGTATGACCCTTTTAATCATAGAGGACTTGCACCTTTTGGACAAGGAAGGCCTGAAATAGAACAACTAAGGTAAGAAAAAAAGAAAAAAAAATCCATTCCACTAAATAGAATGATTGTTAATATAAGATAAAATACAATAGAAAATGCTACAAAAACAGGACCTAGAATCCTTGCACCAGCATGTTTATTATCCCATCCAAATACATTGTCAGACTCGTATGCTCCAAGACTCTATCCATTCATTTGAATGTAGTTCAAATGGTCAAGGTTTCGGGTAGCTCTGTGCAACCAGACAGCTCCCTGCAATAGCTCATCCTTCATTTCAGAGTAAAACAATGGAAAATAGAAGGTTTAGAACAAATCCCTTGAAAATAAGAAACCCAAGTGTGAGAAAAAAAAAAGCAAAGGAACTTGTTAACTCGAGTAATAGTAGTAGAAAGGGTAGACGTATGGTTTTAATCCATTGCTATAGGAACCTCTATACTTGTTAGTGAAATGAAACATCTACTGCTCCACACAATAATTAGAATTAGAAAATAGTGAGAACTCAGAGGGTTTGGCGTGAGAACAATGACAAGTTAAAACTGAAAATAAAAACTCAGTACTGACCTGAATATAAATGGTATTAGGATGAGTAGTGGCTTTGAAAAGTTACTCAGTAGCCAAACGAATGGCTACCCTTGCATTCTTTAACTTGCCCTGCATCAGTCCACCAAACTCGAGAACACTCCATGAAAGCATGGTAAACAAATATTTCATTAATAATTAACTAAAATGTGTACAATATGGCAACCGAGATGTTGCCTCATGTACAATTCAGCTTACAGTTGAGCCCATAATATAGATTTCCTAGAAACCCCTTTCTTAGCTAAAGAATCTGATGAACTGTTATCTGGCCTCCTTTAACACTGAACTCTTACAAACATATTAGAGATTATCCATTTCAACTTCTTCATAGTTTCCTTTTATGTCCAAATAACAGTCTCGATCTTTTGGCCACCTAATTACAAACTTGGAATTCTCTTAAACTATCAATCTATCCACCTTCAACTCTTTAGAAAGCAGTACCCCCTGCTTAGGGGAAAGGTAGAATCCCCTAGTCCAACCAGGCCTGTGAACAATGCACATATATCCCCCCCCCCCCTCCATGCCTTATAACACCCCCTATACCTGAAGGTCTTGAGTTGCCAAGACTACTGCTATCACAGTTAGTTATAGGAATCTTTCTTCTGGAGGAGTCTATTTTGGATTAGGCTTGGCTTTAGTGTGTGAGGAAAGTGCCACTTGCCTCCTAATTCCTCCATATATCATCAAAGATCAGCTTGACTTTCATATGTGGAAAACTGCCTTTATTTATCATGTATTAATATATCCTACTAATAGGTCAAGGTCATTTTTGTCTACTACACTATCTCTTATTTTTTATTGTTTTTGACTCGCCACTCCAATCTATTCTCTCTTTCCTTTTTTGTTTTCTCCTTATTGTTTTCAAGATATATGGTATCAGAGTGGGATTATTAGGCCTGAGAACAAGATCGATCAATGGTTCCATTCTTTTTTGCTGTGTTCTTCCTGGAGAAGTCAAAGACCCCCCTTCTCTCTTGGTTGTGTACTAAGAAAAACCCTTGTAAGAGGTTCATCTGTATGGTATGATGGGTTTAGAAGATCTACAAACCCTTTTTTTTTTGTGGATCATGCGATCCTTTATGGCATGGTTTTTAAAACCGACTTGGAAACCAAACCGGCTAGGGGTCTGGTTACTGGGTCAAACAGTCCGACCATTCGAACCAAATGGTCGGCCCATTCTGATAAAAAAATAAAAAAATAAAAAATGGTCAAAACCATTCAAATGGTTAAAGGCCCGATTCAGCAGTTTGCTGACCAAAATCAACGGTTTTTGGAGAAAATCCAGTTTTGAGGGAAAACAGAGACCGGTTCTAGTTTTTCTAATCCGACCGTTTGGTCCCGTCTAGTTTTGAAAACCATGCTTTATGGCATGTTTGTAGGTCAGAGATGACTTGTACTTGTTGTAACAGTAGCGAAACAAAACTTTGAGTAATTGTGATGATTTTGTGCCTTTTTTCGGGAGGTTTGCTAATGTGGGGCAAAGGCTGTCTGACGGGTTGTCGAAGCCCTCAAAATTAGTGCTAGTCCCACAATAAAATATTTGTAGTAAAAGTGGTAGTAGGTCGAATCCCACAGGGAGCTAACAGTAATCTCTCAGACGAATGAATATTATCACTGAGTGGGAAAATTAAATAACTGAAATTAAAAGAGAGTAATAGCAAACTAAACAAACAAGAGAAATCAGTCTTACCGAATTCTGGTTCAAGGGTTCGGGTTAGTTAATTTGCCATCGATCATAGGTAGACTTCGGCAGTCTTGCAATTCAAGTATTTAACCTTAGATTTATTAGGATAGCCATAATAAACCTTGTGTTCTTCTAATTCAGTTGACCAAACCCAACATTCGATCAACACTTATCACTAATCAACTAGGTACGATAGCGTTCCATATTAACCAGTGATAGCATTAAGCTTTGTGAAAACAGTTAAACCAAGATAACAACAATTGAGATAGCTGCAATTATCAAATCTTGTTCCATCGATTCCCTTTAGGTTAAAACATGTCAATACATTGGTCAAAGCTGAAAGGATTATTGACAAGTAGTGATACCAAGGCATTGGTATTTATCACTCATAACCTAAAGGGTATTTATCACTCATAAATACCAAGGCATTAATGAAAGGATTATTGACAAGTAGTGATACCAAGACATCAATACTCTTTATTGACAACTAAAGAGTTAATCTTTGCTAACACTTGGCACCTACCATAGCACTGTGTAGCATCTCACTGATGCTCCATGCTCAAATCATCACCAAAACTTGGAATTTATCACTCATAACCCTATAACAACTTTTTGGATGCTGTAATGTGTTGGGCACCTGAACCATTGGCAACTTGGCACCTATATAGTTATCAGAAAGAAGGTAATTGGATAAGCATTTAGATTAGCAGCTTCAATGGGATTCGGGGACTTGGTTATTTAGGGGGATTTCTCACTTTGTAGTAGAGGGAATGGTGAATATATTAAGTGGTCTTTGGAGGTTAAAGTCTCTAGATAAGATAAGATAAGCATACACATAGGTTTCTATTCAAGATAATATAAGATCCTCTCATTGTGGAGCATGGGCCACCCCCATCCAATGTTCCTTTTTTTTATTATGATTTTAGGTCTTTCTCCATACTATACTTGATATTAGGTTTTTTACAATTATAAAATTATGTTTTGTCTTAATTTCGTTACTGTGAACGTTAACATTTCTCAGCATTCATTACTGCTTCCATGAGTCTTTGGATGCCCCATCTGATAAATTCCATGAGTCTTTGGATGCCCCATCTGATAAAGCACTTGTATAGATTTTATAGGTTCAATTGTGCTGCAAATTGTATAAAAAATTATGATGTTTTTTGTGGGCTTGTTTGCATTATTTTTCCCAACTAATGGCTTGTTTCTTGTTTTGCAGTGGCACAACTAACAACAAAAATTAAGCATCTATCATTTGTATTACATAAAAAGGTTTGACTATCTTATAAATTTTCCATTGCTGTCTTCTTTTGGTATATGGATATGAAATTTTTTTTATTCACTATATCTAGCTTTTTTTTTGGTAAATTTCACTATATATCTACCTAGAAAACATGTTTAGCAGAGAAAATTGAAAGTGAACTGGAAATTCAAGAAAATGTACAGAAACACAGAAAACTTTAATGGGTGATACATAAAAAACTTTGATGGATAATTCAGGAAAAGAAAAATAAGGCTATTTCATATGCAATTGATGAATACACATTATTATTAGAATTCCTAACAAGGAGTTTTATTGTTAAGCTTCCATGTCTTTTTTCTTGTGAATATGGTACGATATTGAATATGGTATAGCTTATCATGACTATATAGTAATAGATTTGGTGAAAACTTTTTGTGTGTTCAGCCCTTCATGATGGATGACATTGCTTGGGGATGGCAGATGGTGGGTGCTTGGTTGTTGCCATTCTCATCAACAGGTGAAAGTTGGGTTATACATTGGATACCACCAGATGTGAACCAAATCAAATTAAACTTTGATGGGTGCATTAGGGGAAACCCAAGACCAGTCAAGGATTGGTAAATTTTTCTCTTTCCATTCTTGATACTCTCTTCTTCGGGCCATAGAAACCTTGTCACTTGGACGATCCAGAGCAAGGTTATTAGCAATTTTGTCCAATTTCTCGGACGTCAGAACCAGCATAAGGTTTTAGAACCAGTTAGCATAATTAGGGCCTTTGAGTTTGTTATCATCCAACAACTTGGTGAAGTTTCCATTTGCTATTTCTGGTAAAGGCAAGACAGATTTATAAGTCCACAACCTAATTGATTCATGTCATCACATAGAAAGGGCTTTTAATCTATGTTCCATTTCCATTTTGGGCATCTCTGAGATTCCCTCCAATCTCAGTGACGGAGACAGTTGTGTCTCTGGAAATGTGGGAAACCACATGGGGTGCATGGAAACAACTATTTCAGCTACAAAACCCCACCACCTTCTATGAAGGATCTTATGAGCTTTCCCTTTAGCTTTTGTTAGACAAGGTTCAAAGCCATTTTAGGTTAAACCTTTTTGTCTAGTAAGTGCTCACCCATCATGTCCGTGAACGCTAAAGTACCATGAGAGAGTTTTCCATTTTAAGATAGGCCCCTCCCACATCGGTCTATGACGTCCCTATCATCTCATGAAGCAATCTAACCAACTGCATTAGCAGATGGATAGCCCAATTTTATGGTGCATCTCCACCCACCAATATAGCCAATCTTCATACTAATGATGAAAGGCTTTTAGAGAATTCATCATATGAAATTCCCTATCACATGCACCTATATTTAATGGAGGGAATGAAAAACCCCTAGATCTGATTTAGGTCAAACCAAAGTGGTTCCCACTGACTTTCATAAAGCTAGATTCGAAGTGGGCCCAAAACGGCTAGGGTTCCGAGATGTTCCTCTTGGGGAGAAACTAAAGTGGGTCCCACTTAGAAAGGGAGATCATCCAATGATTTTAAGGGCACCATGGCAATGATGTGCATTCAGCCATGGTGTTCGAAAGAGCCACTGTCGAATTAACATGGGCCAAGCACTTATGGCCCATGTACGCAGCACATCACATCACATACATCACATGCATGAAATTCATAATTGATCCAATCAATTAAATAACTATAAAACCCATAATTTAAAGTTTAAAAAACCTTTTCAGCCCATAATATTATCAAATAATATTATCTAGGTACCATATTTCTACTGAATTGGGCTAAAGCAATTTTAACAAATCAAAATTGGGTTTTACAGATGTGGGCCGAATTGCATCTTGCAATTAACCATCAACCCCTCGGCCCATGAAGGAAATTTTAAGGCTGGGAACAGCCCCATCGAACCATAGATTTGGTCCAACCAGTTTGGTCCAATCTGGTTCGAATGGGTCTAGGGTTTGATGATTAATTCAAGATCCAATTCAAGAAACACGATTTGAAAATAAAGAAACTGATACATGACAATCAAGAATCAGTAAACAATAGCAAGAGGGCTGTTTGTAAGGCTGCAACCTTGCAAAACAAATGTTAGTTCACAGTTTGCAGTTTCAAAAACTGTAAATTGTAGATTGCTGAACCCAAATCTGCAAAATTTTCTCCTTCACGCTTCTAGCTTCGTCTTCAATGAAATAAAATAGAAAACCTAATTTTTCTATTAATATTACATATGAATTAAATTCCTATACATTCTGTATAAAATAAAAAAAATAAAAAATTAATTACAGACCAAGAATGAATAAAAAAACGTAGATGCGCAAATTTCTTGCGCCGTAGAAAGATTTCGATCTCCTCCATATGAACAGCCCAAAAATATAAATAGAATAATTCTAAATATATAACAAAATAACATAGATTTATTTTCAGATCATTCACCCAAAACTGGGAACCGATTTCCCAGAAAAAAATCGCTAACTACGCAAATCGGGTAAAACGCCTTCTGCCCATTTGCGCAGATCTAGATCTGATTTAATTCAGTTCAAGACTTGAACCTGGCTCTGGCACCACTGAAGGGATGGGCTATCCATCATATGGATGGCTGAACCCTGTAGGAAGGTTGAGTGAAATTTCAAAAATTTCTTTTCTCTCCCATCTGGGAGTTTCATTCCCTATTTTAGAAAACTACATTTTCAATGATCAATCTTGAACCAAGAACCAGACCAGATCTGAAACCAAAAAGGGAGGAGAGGGGTATATCTGATATGAAGTAGCAATAACTCCCAATGAAGGTGTTCACGCCCAAGGAGAAAACCAAAACCCGCTTCCACTGAAGATGACACAGTGTGTGAAGAGGCAGTATTAGCAGGATGACTCTTCATCAAGAACCAGGATTATTCAGCAAGAATCGAACAGGGGTTGGTGAGCACGACTTTATATTGTTTCTTCAACCAAGAAACAATATCAAGAACCTTTTTGATTAATTCCACAAGAGGAGATCGAATTGGGTAGGGATGGCAAGAATATGAGAGAATTTTGCAGGTTGCTGTGTGTTAAAACTGAGGAATTCGCCCCCTATTTATAGTCTTCTTTGGATCAGCCTCCTAATCTAATTAGGAGAGTATTTCTTGATCCAAATATGATATTTGGTTATGGACTCTTAAATGGATAAGACTTATCTTATTCTTTCAGCTAATCGTAATCAGATTATAAATCAGATCTTGCCTCCTTTTAATTAACTAATTTAGGCCCAGTTCGAATTGTCTTTAGGCCCATTAAGCTTATGTGCTCACTTGCCCCATAACCTACTGCCTAGTTGGCTATCTTAGTATGGCATGGGACCCAAACATTGATCTACACATAAGCCACATGGGTTCAATACAGCCTTTGTTACAAGGACTAACCGAATTCACTGTAGGAGACAGTGAACCCCTGAGTCCATCACTATGGGCTCTTAATGGGCCCAACATTTACACTAAATGGTCATTGGGTCCAGCCACCTTATGTAAACTCAAGGACTACGGGCAGATGCAAGATTAGCTCATCAGGTATTACCCTTAATGGTCTTACACTTAACCTCTCAGCCCATAATGATCAAACACTGCTCGATAAGAGATGACATCTCCCTCGGTTGCAAGGAACAGTATTGCACTCTTTACTTACATGGATCTTGGGAAATAAAACCTTTTGCAAACATTTTGAAACCATAATGACATGAATCAATTATGTACTTTATTTATTTACAATAAATGTCAAAAGATACATCAATCTGATTGGAGCTAAGGGCATAACTGTCTAACAGCTCCCACTTGCAATTAGGTCCAATCGAGTCCGGAATCCCAAATTTTCCACGTGTTTCTCAAATACTTTTTGTGTATGTGGCTTAGTCAATGGGTCTGCTACATTCTCCACTAATGCTACTCTTTGAATCAGAACGTCCCCTCTTCCAACTATTTCCCGCAGTACATGGTATTTCCTCTCGATGTGCTTCGACTTCGAGTGGGCTCATGGCTCCTTAGCCTGAGCTATAACTCCATTGTTGTCACACAACAGTGGAATTTGTGATGTGCTGGACGGAACTATTCCTAATTCCTGAATGAACTTCTTCATCTAGACGGCTTTTGTAGCAGCTTCACTTGCAGCAATGTATTCGGCTTTGGTTGTGGAATCTGCGGTGGAACCTTGTTTGCTGCTTTTCCAGCTAACTGCACAGGCCCCCATCGTAAAGATGTAGCCAGATGTAGACTTTCTATCATCTAGATCTGATTGAAAAACTGGTATCTACTATGAACTATTCAGTCAATTATGTGAATTCCTCTCTCGATTCATTCACATWAACYAAATCAAWTAAGRGGTGGCCAAGCTCTTAATCGCATTAAGCAAAATAATTCATAGACTGTATGGAAATCACAATCTTGGATAAATCATAAAGATAAAAATATACTCATTAACAGGGTTATGCTTTCCACAACCCTAGCTGAAAACAAATCAATTCATGATAAAAGAATTCGCCCTTGGTGCTGAGATCTCTTCTTGCCGCCACCTTTTCTTGAAGTTTCTTGAGTTCTTGATCACCTTCCCCAAGTTTCTTGATTTGTTTTCTACTTTCTTGATAGATAGCTCAATGCAATTCGTGATGCCCCTAGGGTTGATACGCCCAGCTCTCAAATAGCTTACAATTACTTGGAGTTATCTCAAGAATGGATAATCTAGGCTTGATCCAAACTCCTCCTATTCTATCCTATCTCCTCTCCTCTCTCATTATCTAAACCTTTCTTAATCTTTCTGGAATTACATTTAAAAATTTAAATCTAAGAGGACTCTCGAATTCTTGAATTCGAATGGGCTGCTTTAATAACTTGGGCCGCCTCAATGTTTTTCTGCGAAATGGGCTTTAGTTGGGAACTGGGCCTCACTACGAAATTGCTCCGTCTTCGGGCCCGGATTTGACTTCAATGTAGGCCGAATCTGCGAAAGCCCAAAACATGAAAGTTGTAGCTTTCTCTCTTATATTTCAAG